CTACTGATTTAATTTATTCACGGGTACGCAAAAAAATATTTTATATATTTATACAAAATAAACAGACTTCCTTTTACAATCCTGACAAGCCCACACCCATTGTAACCTGAAATTATAAGACGACACACACATCACAAACTATGCGCATGACAAAAAATGATGCATGATGGTGTGAACTAATTATATTTTCTCAGCCTTTTAATATATTATCTAATTGGCTAATTTAGAAAGATCAATTAAAGAAACTAAAAAATTACTTTAAAATATTTATATTTACTATTTTTTGTAGATTAATTTGCCTAACTTATAAATTCATATTACTTCTTGTCCTTAGTACAGGAGTTAAATAACTAATTTAAGTAGATTAAAAAATTAGTTAAGTAAGTTATTTGTAATAAATATGTGTTGTCTTTTCCAAAATACCCTTGTCAATCAACTATATTATTTGAAACTATTATTTGATGAAATCTTTAATATGACTATATTGGAAAACAGGGATAAATATAAGAGATAAGGTAAATTTAGGTTTTATATTTAGAACCAAGTCAAATGTCAAAGTAACTTTTATATTAAGGATCAGGGGTAGTATATAATCTAGTAATAGATCATGTAATATATGTTATAATTAATTAATTTTTTAATCTTATCAAATTAATCAAATAGATCTTATATTAAGCAACGAAACTAGTATATCTTGCAAAAGTTCATATATAATTTTGTGAAGAAAATATGTATGCATAGTCTGAACACATTATTTAAGAATATCATACGTACGTGATGAAGATTTTACAGATGCTCAATCGATCTTGAAAAGCAAGTAAAGTAAATCCTTCAGCATTCCTTAGCATTATTGCGAACAGAGAATGACAGTGAGACGATTGTTAAGGCTAACCAATGGGTTATATAAAACACGCACGTACATGTGCCTGTGTTTATGACTCAGCTCCCGCAGTATATATAATAATAATAATGTAATTATCTTCCACTAATTTTTTTCCTTATTATTGTCAGATCATAATAGGGAACACTGACAACTACTGAAGTCTTTATTCAGATGAGTTTATGTGATCTAACCTATCATAAAACACATATAGAAATTGGGCCTGATTTGCTCTTCTGTGTTTAATATTAAATCGAGAGTAATTACTTAAAATAAAATCAAATATTCCCATTACTTAATTAATGCCGATCCACAAAATTAGTAATCAGTAAATGTAACAAATTTAGTCTAACATACATTTTGTCCCATCAATAACCGCTTCGAAGTTTGATAAACGAAAGTAAAGTTGCATTTTGATTTGAAGAGTTCTTAAAGCTAAGAAAAGAATTAAAGTAGATGCTAATTAAGATAATCAAGCAGTAGCTAAAGGATGGATGTGACTAGTCAATGAAAAAATCTTCGATATTTGCTAAATCATCCATCAAATCGATCACTATCTTCTTTTCTAGACTGGAATTAAAGTAATCAATTGAGGACATGACACTACTCAATAGCAAGGTCTTTTAACTTTAATATGAGGGTTATCGTCAAAGCAATAACTCAAAAGAAAAGAAGAGGCCGGAAAACTAACTAAATTAAAAATGGGCTTGCGAGAGGAACTTTCTTATGAAACAAGATGAGTAAGACACCATGTAAGTGGTAATTAATCATGGAGCTTTGACGCACATGGATGTTCTAGCCAAGAGAAAGAGACACTGTAACACGAAGAAAGAGACGTATGGATCTCCAATCAAAAGATATTTGGCAGCTTCTTGGTCATACTAATAGAAATCCTCTCTGTATAGTGCCATTCTGTCAACTGCAACTGAGCTTTAGGGTTAGACATAGCTTTCCGCTTTGGAATTTTTCTCTCACAGATCATTTCAATCGGTATCTCAACAAAGAGGATCCGTCGAGAAAACACATTCAAGAAAATATATAGAGATATGAAAAACAAAGGGCCAAAGGGAGCATAAATTTATTACCAGATAGATCTCCCAAATTGGATACGGTTGGTGAGAAGCAATGGGTCTCATCACATTATCTTCCCAAATGACAATCATTGGTGCTTTGCAAAGACGAAATCAATTCCATTCTTTACCCAAAAAGTGGTTCTCAAGTCGCTTACATTACAGCTATATGTTCATTGTGAGCATCCACAAATCATTAACTTTTGTTATGTATATGCAAATATATCTTGTTCTTTCACGAAAATTTTTGAGGTTGAGTTAATATATGTATATATACACAATATTTTTCCAACGTAGCATGTACCTCACTATTTAATTTCATGAGACAAATGTGTATTCCTTTCGCAGTCACCGACAAACCAACAAAGTGATCAGAAAAATTGATGAGAAATCATAACTTCTTTCGCGTCTTTTAACTTCGTAACTATAGGTTTGTGCTATTTGACTTCACCTAATAAACGGATTCTGACCTAGACATATGCACATATGGCGGCGCTTGGTTGGCTAGGTGCAACTGTTTACAACTATCACAGAGAATTTCTGTCTAAAATCAACATATTGAAACTATTATAATGACAGTCTTCTAGTAACTTCAATAACAACAATAATATATTATATAAAGTTAATCCGGAGGGGACCGTCAATATAGTTTCAGCAGTACGATGGAAGTGGGATAGAGGCTGGCCCGTGAGTTAAGATAATGTTCAATATATGCATATTTGTTATATACATATATATATGTGTGTGTGAATGGGGATACAGAAAATTAAATGAGATGGGGAAAAATATGGGAGAAGTGACCCCTACAATGAAAGAGGATAAACCACCGCACACTTCCTTAGCCAAAAGGACGAATTGGTATACAGCCAAGCATCACAGCACATAGTTTCAACAACTTCATAAATCCTGCTGCTGGAAAACTGCACAAAGTTCACATCTCAACGCTGGCACAACTTACGTATGCCGTTGTGTTTTTCAACCCCCCCCCCCCCCAAAAAAGAAAAAGAATGCCTCTCTAGCTGGCAAATTGCTATATACATATACATACATATATATATGATTTTTAGGTCTCAGCTGATTGATGACCATTAATTAAAAGTCTTATCTACTTATTATTGATTAATTTTCAATACTCACTCTTGTTTTTAAGTTCTACATATACACACACTTGTAATTCCTAGTAGTTAACAAATATGCAGAATCAGATTCCCGACATTGAAGGAATCATTCTCAGATCCAGAGTAATTTTTACTTTTCAAACGGAATTGTTTTGTTGATTTAAATTAAATAATAATAAAGATGACGTGCACGTTTATGATTGACAAGAACATGTGTCCTTGTCCTTATAGTTACTTTCCCAAAGTGCACATGTTACTGCCCCCATTGTGTGCTTGTCCCTTTCTAGTTTGTTCCTTGCTCTGATATAGTGATGGTGGAGGCTCCTCATGCCTGCTAGCTTGTGCATATATTACTCATGGCTTAATTAAAGAATCCATACCTTTCAACATCAACCTAGAGTCTCAACTCGTTTTTATTCTTCCTCTAATAAGTTTCTTGAAAAAGATATCTTAATGCAGGCCGGTTCTTTAATTTAATCATAACCACACATTCGCTTAACTCTATTTTCTGTCTGTTTTGTATGTATTACCTCCTCCCACATCTTCGAAGGCCTGCGATGAATGTGTCAGGTTCTATGCAGGGAAGGACATGTACCTTTCAATTTCCCCATATATAGGAAACTATAGGTTTATCACCCTTTGTTTCTTTTCTAATAATGACTTTAAAAAGAAATGGTATCATGAAACATCTCAATATATATCATATACATCATGATTTTATATATAGTTAATTTGATGGTGGCAGATATATGTATAAAAGGAGCACGCATAAGAATGATGTTGAAATTTGGGAAGGTTATGATTATGCTTGATATGAGGAAAAATGGTGGATGTCATTGATCGTTATAAAGAGTTGTGGGGAAATGGTCGTATATAATTATTAGAATCTTAGGTAATTAGACAAGAGTTGTTGTCACAGTTGCAAGGGCCATAGCAAACCTGCCTTTTCGGCATCATTTGGACCCACCCCACTCCCAAAATAATTAGCTTCTACCAGCGGTTGGTAACTCTCTACTAAAATAGTTTAATCGATGAGTTTGACTACAAAAAGCAACACATCGTTCAATTGTTCGTCATTCATATGTTTATACCTAATCTGCAGGACCTATTCTGATAGTTAATTACCACTTTGAAATAGCCTCCTTTTTTTAATAATTATCTGAAGCTTTTGAGGAGGGTGAGCTATCAAATCGCAAAGACAATTCTTCGGTTGCTTATTATAATGGTCGAGTGAGTAAAGACATATGCTATTTCCTTCGTTTTTCATTTCAAAAGTTTTGTCCGGTTCTCCAACAATACAGTGCCGCTTAATGAGGTATGGACATTGGGAATTTGCCTTTATTTGTGCTTCGAAAAGAGACAAGTGGATGGCGTCTCGTGTGTGTGTGTGTTGAGAGTCGTCGTTTATAGTTTTCTTGGACTTTAGTTTATTTATTAAACAATCTAAGATCAATTTTTTAAGAAAACAATTTTCTTCTTCAACTAAAAACAATAACTTACTACCTTCATTATCACAACATAACTTCAATCTTAAAAAGCAAGCGGCTGGTGGTACCCATCTCCTACCCTATGATAAAAAGTTAGGCGAAAAAACCCAGAGTCAATAACCTCGAAAACTCTACAAAGATGTTCAAACTTTTTCCTTTCTGTGATTAATTAGCATCAAAACACATTAAAAGAGGAACCAGCCCCGCTCTCTGTGAGGGGGTGATGTGGTGTGCCATCATTGGCTGATTAAACAACACACACTTTTGGGGCAGTAAGTGATGCTTTGTCTCTGTGCCTGTCCTTGAGGTTGAACAATTGAGAACCAATTAAAAAGTTGGTAAAACAAGGCTGCTCAACAACACTGAAGATCATCATTCATCCGTTCCGAAATCCTATTTAATTTCCATCCCTGTGGACCTAGAACTTGAGCCTACAGGGATAGCTTCACGCCCCCAACCCTATATAAAGTTCCATGCTAGGGTTAGGGTTAGTCACCAAGCACTGACTTGGCTTTAAGGCTTTCTGGGCTGTGGATGATTCCAGTGATCATCATTGGATTTAATCCAATCATCCCACCATCACTGTTACTCCATTCTATCCGTACATAGGGATTAAAGAGGGATTTGTTGGGAATCGAGAGATGAAGAAGAGGCAGGTCGTTGTGAAGAGAGATGTGGCCAAGACGTCGTCGTCGGTGATGAGGAACGTCAGATATTTGGAGTGCCAGAAGAATCACGCGGCCAACATCGGAGGTTACGCCGTCGATGGTTGCAGAGAGTTCATGGCCAGTGGTGATGACGTCACAGCCGGGGCTCTTACCTGTGCTGCTTGCGGCTGTCACAGGAATTTCCACAGAAGAGAAGTTCAGACCGAGGTTGTCTGTGAGTACTCTCCTCCTAATTCCGCTCGCTAAAGCTTCAAGCCTGCTTTAACCCCCCCCGAAAACAGTACATCACAAAATTATACACCATATTGTTGCCAAGGTTTTGGTTGGGTTTGTGTATTGAATTAACTGATTGATGAACCTTTTTTCTTTGGGTTCTATTGTAAGAGTGGATTGATTTGCCAAACAGATCAGAGACATTGATTCTTGTTCAACAGAAGATTTAGACTCTCAGGATTTGTGTTTCTTCGAATATTATTAATTGAGTGCTGTCTCTCTTGTTCTTTCTAGCTTTTCTCCTCCTCCTTCTTCATTATATTCAGTCAGTCAGGAGAGGAATCGTATCGGATTATCAGAGCGAGGAGAAGCTAATTAATGAGATCATACTGATAATTGAAAACATCTTTTAAAACATAGCTATCTGAATTTTATATTCACTTTGCAGTTAATATTTTTCAGAGAAATTAAGGGGTGAGAGACAGAAACTCTCCTGTGTTGGTTAATGTATATTATTCTCCATTTAAATTAATGTGAACTATCTGATTCTGCTTGGAACTGTGTGCATTAATGCTCTCTATGAAATGCTGTGTGTGTGTGTGGGGAGGAGGGGGGGGGATTTGTTCATCTGTAGGTTGAAGACCTAGTCAAATGGTATTGACTATTCCAAGTCCTTTTTTTTATCATTCTCTTCCTCCTATGCTTTATCTCATATTCCCGAGTCAACAGCTCAAGGCATTTAGGAATTTGAGGCTTATCACAAACACACACACAGAGAGTAAAAAATAGTGTCACAGATAGATTTCTTAATTATCTCAACCCTTCTTCAATAATATTATGGAAAGCCAAATGAGGTTAAATATAGCTTGTTATATATTCCTTCTATCTTTCTTTTTTAAACTGGATTTCTTCCCTCGCTTCAATGGCAAGAAAACAAGTTGGGGCCTATGTAGATGAGATGAAGATAATAATCCTTGTGCCAATCATTTAGCATTTGAAATATTATAACTCCTGGAAGGCCCACATGTATCCAATCATGTAAAGGATATTCCAATTTAAATATTACCGTATATTATATATTAACTAATTAGTAAGTATAGTTGACTAAAGATTATGCAACAGAGTTAATATTGTAGTGGAGAAGTGACCAACTTTCTTGTTGGTGGTGTGGCCAGTGGCATTGCTAAAATTATTATTAAAAGAAAAATTAAATTAATTCAACAAAGAAGGAAAGAAAACAAGCCATATGTTGAAAGTGGCTCGCTGCCCTTCCATCTTTGGCCTTTTCTTCTCAAGGACCATGGGCTCTTTTGTTTATAATTTGCTTTGTTACTTGTGCTATATAAATTAATACACACACAAACTTTCATACTGATTAAGACTGTATACCAGTGCGACCATAAAGTACTCTAAAACGCAGATTTTGCTCCACTAAGTCTGTAAGGAAAATGTATATAAGGAGCAAAGAAGACAATATTTAATCAGTTGTTGTAGAATGCTGAGAAATTCATGTGATTTGTTTGCAGCTCCAAGAGGTCATGCAGGTTTAAGTATGGGAGAAATATTATTTGTAAAACATTTCTCTTTCTGATATATAGACTTTGGTGTTCAATTCAACATATTGAAAGCGAAAAGACAGGGAAGGAAAAAGCTGCATCAGGTTCTGATGAGCATGTATATGTTATAATTATGGAAGCTAGGGTCAGATATATTCGATGTACACGCCCCACATATATGAAGTGCAATGCGTGTTGTTTGGGAAAATGGACCTACTTATGGCCAATGAATTATATCCGGATTTTCCATAGCCATTTAGTAAGTGTCGAGGTATATGCATTTAAGGAAATAAAAAAGAAAATTAAGAATTTTATACGCGTTCAATTTGGGATCAATTGATGACCATATGCACTGAGTTGTTTTATATAGTTGAGTTATTTGAGAGTTGATTTAGAGAATTGCTTCTTCTCTGAGATTACATAGCTATTGGCAGACACATGGCAATCAGTAATTAGTTTGTCACAGAAAGCTTCATGAGGGTATTGTAATGGTAGGGGGACCCTCTAGTGTGCAAAAGAAACTGATGCTGGATGCACGTGAGACGCCCTTATTATAATAGTCGTTGGCCTTAAAATATATTTATTTGTCTGTGCTTCGTCTGGGGAAAAGGAATGTGATTGCTTCTCTGAATTTCAGGCTACTTTGTATGGCGCTATACTTTCTCAACGAAAGCCTATAAATCAATTTACATGAAAGAAGCAATAATGACAACCATATGCCATTCATAGTGTTGAAGGGAGATTCGATGTTTGGATCACAGAACTTGTTTGTTTCAGGTGGGCAGGAAGGAAGGAAACCTTCTTTAACGAGGTCTATTTCTATAACTATAAGCAGCAGCAAAACATATACCTACTAAATTTATGTTCTCCCTAAATTTGTACCATGCAAATGATGATGAGAAAAAATTGCTGTACATGACGAAGGAGAAAGAGGAATCTGAAGGTATTGTGACTGACTGTTTAGCATAGTGAGCATGGGGACCTACTTTTGAAGAGTGTCTCTCTCAGAATTTGGACTGATTCAACCCAATTTTGTTTGATTCTCTCATCGGCTGCTGCTGTACGGAGATCCCATTATCATTACTTCCTTATTATTAGTTATGCATGCAGTGTCATACTCACACACACCCCCCCCCCCCAAAAAAAAAACAATATAGAGCACTGCAGGATCCGTATGGCGTAAGCCAGAAGCAGCAAAATGGTAGGCTTTCAATTTTAATATGCAATTTACGAGACGAGTAATATAGAGGGACCATTTGGACCTGGTTTAGGGTCCTTTTTCCTGTGTTGCTGGCGTTCTACGTCACGATCCTACACCATGCTTGCGCAAAACAGTAATAGTATTGAGAAAAATCAGGAGAGGTATCATTTCAGTATTAGTAAACTGTGAAGGGAAATGTAAATAATAAATATTGGGAAAGTAGCTTTGAGGGTTTTCCCTTCTCTCTAGGGCACCAAGGCACATGACCTTGACCTCAAAATCACATGGACCTGCTCATAAAGGCGCCAAACCAGAATATACTGTCCAATTAGGGCCACCTCATTTACGCGTCACCTTCTGTTGGATGTCAGCAATCCACATATATATGATCTTCAACCATCCATCATCACTATTCCCTCACAATGTACATAGCATTATTCTTATATTTGAAACATGTTTCAGTAATTATTCATTAATTCATGAACTTGTTTCCATTTTCATTCTTATCCTTGGGTTTGCAAATCTTGCTTTCGTAAATTAATGCATAATTCCATAGGCAGCTTCTCAATCACATGCCAAAAGCTTTCATATAAATCTAGTCTTATTTCGTTAACCAGCGATGTAAATATCAACATATATATTCCATACATTACTATCTATATACTACCTCCAGTTTTTGATAGAAGTACTACTAAACTAATTTGAGTACAGTATGAACCTATTTCCTCTCTCGACCTACTCTTTTACTCCGATTGGATTGCAAACTAACTGAATATTGTCTCACCCGTAGGCTGCCCCGTAACCCATCTCTTAAAGAAAGAGGCTTGAAAACAAAACAAAGGCAACCCAACCATCCATAAGAGAACCCGTAGAATGACTGTGAACTCTAACCTCAACCAAATATTTATTAAGAAAATTAATTAAATTAATTATTCGTAATAAATAAGTGTTGTCTTTTCTAAAATGCTCCTATTATTTATGTGTATTAGCCAGAACTATCATTTGATAAAATCTTTAACATGTATAACTACTACAAAAATTATTTAAAAAAAAAAAGATAAATATGAGAGACAATGTGGATTAGGTCTTATATTTAGGACCAAATCAGATATTAAACTATCTTTTATATTTAGAACCGGAGGTAGTATATCTATATATAAAACCTATAGGACGTTGGCAGAAAAAATAAAATAAAACCTATAGGAAGTCGCCTTGTTTATAAACTGTATAGGGTGCGACTTACTTCAATCTTTTCATACGCTGGCTAACTCATCATGCACTTTAAAATGCATGAAATTCTAAAAGCACGAGCTTATGAGATTAGGAATTAATTCGTTAATAATATTTTGTATATAATGTATTATTACTGATAAAATTATGTCCAAGATTGCTTTATATTTTTTTCTCTCTCACAATATCTCTCATAACTCCTCCAAATATTTGTTCGTTGGATAAAAATATACTCCAACCTTTATTACATAAATAGAGGATTTTATAGGGTTCAAACTCTATTGCTCTTTAAAATTAAACACTAACACTCGTATCAGTTAGCAAGCCCAACATATTTTATGGGGAGAATGACAAAAAGGAATATGGAAATTGCACAGTCCAAATGAATAGTTTTTACAAAAATATGTTGTTATTTCTAAGTCAAAATCCACTAAAGCGCAAACAAGAAAGCTGATTTAAAATTTAATAATTTTTATATATCTTCTCTGTGATTTTTCCTATGTTACGGGTATTGTAGATGAGGCCTGGAAAAATAAATTCCATGGTTTAGAATTTGTAAATGACGAGACTAACTATTGATTTTATTTTATATATATATATGTTTAGGTTATATAGGTGCTATTAAAATTTTATTTTGTATCGATCAATTTATTGCATGACATAAACGACGTCACGAAGAGTGTTTAACAAACTCTTTTTGTTTCGTTACACTTTTCAACCAAGACAACAGCACAAGTATAACTTATTAACTGTGAAAGAAAAGTGATTTTATGTTGGTTGATGGTCGAATAACTGTGTCCGGATGAAATCACAATGCGAAAGTTCCGGTAGAATGTCGTTTAAATGATTGCCCACCCTTACAAATGATGCCGTTTTAATCACCTAGGAACAAGAAGCTCAGATTAGGTGGGACTTTTCTTTCTTTTTCTTTTTTTTTTTCCAGTAATAATTTCTGGGTCCATCCAACTCCATTTATAGCACAGAATTAAACACAGCGTAGGTAATTTTTTTCAACTTGGCTGATAAAATTAAAAATAATGCCTTATTTTGGTATGATCGAAGAGTTTTTAATGAAAGTTAAAAAAAAAAAAATTATACTGCAACTTCAGAATCTGGGACAAGGGATTAAATTATAATGTATATAATGATCATAAAAATTGTAGTTTTCTGCATAAAAACCGAGTCATATCATGCCAAAACAAAAGGGCAAGTTTTTCACTTCTCTCCCCAAATTAACCGCAATAGGCAGGAAATGCTGCTTATGAGGCTAGAGTGAAGTTAGGTAGTATTTTGATTTTTTTTTTTTTAATTAAAAAGGCGGCTGCTAAGTGCTAACAATTACAGACAAGATCGAGTTCTTAACCTTCCATTTATGGGATAGTTTTTGTGTCACTAAATTACAAGACTATTGATACGTGGTGTATTCCTATTCTCACATGCTTGATGAATCACTCGAGGAGCAGTAGTCCGGTGCGAAGCTTTGATATTCGGGGGATTGGGAATCACAGTTCGTGGACCCCAAGTCGCTTTCGATTCTTGAGTTGAGGAAATGGGCCCACTGGATGAAGCCCATGAAGGGCCCAAATTATGAAGAAGCACGGACGGAAATTACAACATGCAGAGAAGTGCACGCTACCGTGTTGTTGATGATTTCGCCCGAGAAGGTAACGAGGGACAGTCTCACATGCCCGAGGTTCGTCTCTGTTTCTATAACCAGCCGGACCTTCCTCCTGAGAAATGTCTCAAGTAAAATTCGATAACTTGATCATCATTATGAGTTTTTGTATATGTTCCTATTAAATGAATTAGAAATACTAAAAGAGCAGACATTTTCCAAAAAGGCAAAAAAGAGAGGCATTTTTCTAAGATTTAATAAGAGATTATTATAAATAAGATTGAAGTCACAACTTATCATTTGCTATCTCTTATTTTAAATATAAGATCTAGTTTATAGTATAAAGTAGTACCATATAATACGAGTTTACATGTTATGAGCCAATTCTCAAATCTTGTCTTACGAATGAAATAAATATATAAGTGGTAGGGACAAAGTAGAGAGAATTAGTGTGAAAAGACAAAGCAGAGGAAGCATTACTAAATTGGCAGTAAATGCAAGGACCAATGACTCTGTATGTTCCTTTTTTTTTTTGGGTTGCTTTGCGTAAAGTATTCAATATCTTACACCTACCTGACTTTAATAGAAGCTAAATCGAGTGGATAGAAAAAAAACTGCAGAACTCAGTGTTGTGGTATTAATAGTGAAGATAGAAGGAAGGGTGGGGGGGCGGTGGTGGGTGACAGCGGGAAATGCGGGAAGGAGTGGGGCTGAGGGGGAAGGGGTCATGTGCGCGTGAAGGCACCTCACATGCGTCTTTCTTCCTTCCTTCGCTTTCCCTTCCCATTATTTGCCTTATCATTATCCTATCCATTAGCATGTCGCCACCTCATCCCTCCCCTTCGGATCTCCTGTTCCTGATTTTATTGGGCTCGGACCCCCCAACTTACCATGTCAGGCCCACTTGTCTTCTCTTCCCCTCAGGTTTGGGCCCCACCCTTCCCTGCTCCTCCCTCCCCCATGTGCTCCTGCTCTCACCCTCATTCATTTCCCCGCCACCGCCAACCCTATTATATTCCTATTCTTCTCTATAAATATTCGAAAACAATTTTATTTCCTATTTTGACAGTTATACCCCTACTCAGACTAATTGTTAAAATTTTAAGAGAATATTCATTATTCTCCCATTAATTATGCCTACTAACGGCTTAACCTGTACACTGGAACACTTAAAAAGACTCCCCCCCCCCCCAAAAAAAAGTAAAGGGCTTGCAAGTTTGACAGTTGCATACATTTCGTATAGTCGGTTGATATTGTTAAATCTTATTAGGACAATCTCACTTAGGTGCAATCATATGTTTATTGGCATTTATCACTATTTATAGAAGCCCATGTCCTCAAAATTTCAGGTGCCCGCAAGCATAACCTTGCTGAAACCCTCAAATTGTACCCTAAACAATACTTGAACTTATTCACCTAATTTTTCTCATTCCATTTTATAACTCATTGTCCCATTTCCTCACTGCTTTTTTTTTTTTTGGGAAAAAAAACAGACTTTAAAGAATGGCGCACAAAATTTTGGAGTGCACGCTGGCTAGGACAAACTCGGAAAGAGATTGCAACTTGTATGCTCACAAACTACACTTATAATGAATCAGGTAAGCATAATAATGATAAAATGATAAATATGAACAGAATCTGAAAGCTCCAATAATGCAACCAGCCTGCCTCTTCTCTATTTAAACCCCTAACGACCTTCGCATCTGAATCAAACCAACCAACCGATCAAACTCTTTTCGAAGCAGAGTCATAGCGATGGCCAAGTTTGTCTGTGTTCTGGTTCTAGCATTCCTCGCCATTTCCATGATCGCAGCCCAGGTTAGCATCTTTTCACGCACATGTCCCATTTACTCCAAGCCTCCCAAGTTTCTACCCAACTAAAATGAATCTTCGTTTGAATTTCTGTTGGCACAGGCTATGGCCAAAGATGCGGCTCAGTATCAGCTAGACAGTGTGAGTATCTCTTCTTTCTGTTTATTTTCCGCATCACCCCCCACGGAAAGCCTCATTCCTTCTTCATTTTGCAGGGGAATTACGGACCTGGGAGCCTAAAGTCCTATCGTAAGTAACTATATACCTAACTCCATTATGCGAACAAAAGAATGAATCTTTTATCTTCATCCATTATGAGGCTTGAGACTAAAGTTTCTGCAACTAACTGGGGCAGTTCGTTTGAGCAGCTGATTGATGGTTCTTTTTTTTCTTTTTTCCTCTTTTACTGGGTGGGTTTTGACACATGAACCAGAGTGCCCATCACAATGCACGAGAAGATGTAGCCAAACACAGTACAGGAAACCATGTATGTTCTTCTGCCAAAAGTGCTGTGCCAAGTGCCTCTGTGTTCCACCGGGCTACTATGGCAACAAGGCCGTGTGTCCCTGCTACAATAACTGGAAGACCAAGCGTGGAGGACCCAAATGTCCTTGAAAAGGAACCCAAATTCAATCTTTATTTCTGGGTTTCATCTGTAGAACCATATTAATGAGCTCATTAGAAGCATTGGGGTTAAAATCAGTAAATGAGGGGTTACCAACGACTAGTTAATTTACTGTCATTGTTAATGTTCCTCTCATCCATTTCTTTTTAACTACGAAGGGTATCTCTGCCGCTCAATTATATCTTAATGTGTTGTAGAATACTGATATTTATTGTAATTTTTGAAGCAAGGCAATGATGAACCATTGGACTTTGTTTCAGAGGCTGTTTTGATTTCCATTCATAAAATCGGTGATTGGGTTTACGTACTGCTAAATTGGAGATTATATTTTGCAAGCAACGAGATCTGGAGATCCGATCTTAATTGTTAATATTGTAACTTGTTAGATTTCCAATACATATACGATAGAATATGGCATCTGCCTCAGAAGCAGTGCCGTGAGGGACCAATCAGTGACCCCTGTCCTTATCTTCCCAATGATTAGTCATTTTTAACTTATTACTATTATTGAATTAGTTTAGAATTTTCTTCGTAGAGCAAGTGTTTACATCGCAAAAGTATTAATAACTGTTAAGTGTTAACTGATATGGAGACAGTTTTCATTTTAAATTGAAACTGAAAGTTCACCACATTCTTTTTTGACTGACATAAATTTACTGAACTCAACTAACCAAATGAATGTGTTTTTCAAAGTTAGAAAGGAAAATGGGTGTTCCTGATTAATTTTTGCTGCGCATAGTTAAAGTAATTCTGTTTAAAACACTGTTATGAACTATATGTGGACACCTTTCTTAACAGAAGTTTAAATTTTAGTTCGCCACATTATCCTTACGCAAGATGTTATCGCTACGCAAAATGGGTGTTAGGCACTGTTTGTAACAGTGTTCCCGTTTAAGCAAGATGTTGTCCCTACGCGGAGCATGTATGGGTTTATGCTGCAATATGGGATTGTTAATTTGTACTGAGACTGGCCCAACAATCCAGCCCAAGATATTCTTCCACTTCATAACCCAAACAGGCCCAACCGTGAAAGGTTGAGTGGCTTTCTCTGTTGGGCTCTTTTGATTGACATGTATTTGCTACAGACTATCTCTAACGTCACTTTCATGTCTATATTATCATGTGTATTTGCAAGAACAAGAATCAGCAGAGCAAAATTCATATATATTCCTTTCATTCGAATGAAAAACCCAGAAAAAATGCACTATATTCTGCTGTATTTGAGACCTAACAAGATCATAAGCTATCTAGCTATTGATCAATGCCTATAATTCTCTAAACTATCAAACATGAGTAGGTGACGCTGGCTCAAATTGAGTCTCAACTTCAATTCTTCATCTAACAGCTAGACTCAAAGAACAAAACATAAAAGAAGAGAAGAAAACGTAGAAACCCAACCAACCTCGTTCATCAGCAAGTGTTAATCACGGAAGCAAAGAACGATGTAGAAGGCTTGTGAATATAGCAAAAGGCATAACCATAGCTTGTCAACCTCTGTTGTGAATTGGGTCCGAACCTTTTTTAACTGTCCTTTTGTTTGATTGATTTGCATCGAAGCTCATTGAAGGTGCAGGTGCCAAATCCAGCTTTGCTTGCAAATCCTCCATTTTTGCAGCATCCTTGAGGATACGAAAACTTCTGACAAATGGTAATTGCTCGTTGCGCATTCTCAGAGCAAGATCTTTGCTTCTCAGGCCATAAACCTTGTGTGGTTGAGAAGCCAAGAACCCAATACAAACAAAAAGAAAGAGCCTTCTCAAACTCAAGAAACTCATATTCTGGTTATGATATAGACAATCAGGAGGAACAAAAGCTTCTCTGAGTTGAAGTAATGAAGACTGATTGACTGAATCTGCTCCCCTATTTCTTATTGCTCATGTCTGAGAATAACTAGCCTGCAGTTTATCTTCTATGGGATTGGGAAGAATAAAAGCATAAAGCAAGAGAAGCCCAGAGAATGTAGGGAAGTTTTAGATTCACCTCAATCATAAGCATACTATAGAAGCAATATATAAGGCTGTTTTGGAAGACTCTGACAAGTTTGAATAAAAGTTGATTGGAACATTATCCTCGGGAAGCCAAGTATCTTTTCAATCAGCTTCCCCACATTCCTATCATCTGCCTTGCTCTTTTTTACCAACAAAGATCCAGCCTACTCTGTCCTCAACACTTTATTAATCTGCCACGGCATCCGGTCCTTGCTGACATGTCCTTCCATTCAACCATGCCTTGGAGACTGGTGCTAGGTAATAAGCAATGAGCACATCGAGCCATTGCTCGGATATCCGACCCGTTTTATGAAAAAGAAAACCTATTATATGATATAAATGAACAGTGATTTATTTAAAAACACAAGGATCTGTTTAAAATAGTTTATAAACAACTTTTCAATTATAATTTACAGAATACGAGATAAATATATTAAAAAATTTTTATTTCAACTTACATAAAGTATGCTTATAATTGCTTATAATCGCCAATCCAAACAAGAACAGTTAACACCAATATGGGGGGTCATCTGTTTCCGGTCAAAGAACACGAAAAACAAATAATAGTGTAATAGAGTTCATTTAATTTATGTAAGAACCCTATTACTTTGGTGATATGACTACCTTAAACAAAAGGTAGGAGGCAGGGATTCTTTCAGAATGCGGAGGGAAGAAAGCCCTCAAAAGTAGAGTTTCGGGGAGAGGGTGGGGAATAGCAACGATCCACAAAAAACCAATAAAGAAATAGACCAGCCAGTAACTGTCTTTTACGTTCCTAGTGCCTTCTTTATGCAAACTATCTTTAGAATTTCAAACTCTTCTCTCCATGCAACAAAAATCTTATTCTTGGTTTCTTGTGCTTAATGGGATTCCTTTATGCTTTTCTTAGCTCTCTTTGAAGTGCCTAACCACAAACCCTCCGTTCAAGGTTTTTAAAGAAAACGATTGTTAGCTTCCAAATCTGGCCTCTCTTCCTTTATTTTCTCTCTTACCCATGATGACCATACCAAACTCTGTTCCCCTCTGTTTTTCTTATCTCCCTGCCGTCTTTTTCTTTTCCTAGTTTATAAACATTTATGGTCCCAGTAAACAACAGGATATATGTTCCATCACGTTATAAACTGAGAAAAAGAGCATGAGGAAAAGGGCTGGGTGAGGAGGCTGATAAGTATGGGACAAATCTATTCTAAGAACATTCCCAACAACTGAGATACTCTTTCTGACCCACCACTTTAGAGCTGTATTAAAGTAAAGGATATCTCGGAACGTTTTTTTTTTTTCCAAGGCGGGAAAAAGTAAAAGAAACTAAGGAGCTGTTGCTTTCCAAAACCAACTTCACCATCACATATACTCCCTCCATTCTTTATTATAAGAGACATTTGATGTTTATGGCATGTTCCTATATATAAGAGACACTTAAAAGTTGTCTCTACTTTTTTGTGTTGATTTCCTATTTTACCCATATTTATTGTCTCCAACTCACACTCTCTCTCCTTCCCATTTCTCTTTCTTTTAAAAATTTACCATTGTTCTCTCTCATGCTCTCTCTCCTTATTAATAAGGGCATTTTTGGAAAAAAAATTATACTTTTTACACATTAATTGTTCTTAACTAATTTTAACTGTTTTTTTTATCGACGTAATTCGGTTATTCGTTTCTTATAATAAGAACGGAGGGAGTATCTTTTAAACACCATAACTTGTAATATGAATACTGTACCATCAGTCCAAGTTCTCAAGTGATTCCAATTTATCACATTAAAGCGGCACCAGTCAAAATGTCCCCCCCCCCTCTTTAATTAATACTGAACGTGGCAAATGCTTATCTTTATCTGTACAGTACTCTTCGTTGTTTCACGGGAAGCAAGTGGTTTGCTCAGTTATTTTAGCGTTTGAACATTAAACATAAAAACACGCCTATCTTGCGAGGGAGAATAGGCTATAACCATCAATTCAATTATAAGAACCGTACTTGAGAGTCTTGGGGCTATAACAAGTGTTGTACTAATTTCTTTAATCTTTAAATATATTAATGGTATCATAATTTTCTACGATGCCTTCATCTGCGAATTATAGGGAAGGACAAAGAGAACTTTAAGGTCTGTGCATAACCAGAGCAATATACAATTTGACAACAGATACAGGGTCGTCAGATCCTATTCTGCTGATCCACTGGGTAATTCGATTTCATTAGCGATGAAGCATGCAAGATTTTTTGGAATTCATAAGCGAAAAGCAGGTACTGTTGATGTTCCAAACCGTAGGCCATGGTGTTGCCCTGCCCGTAGCATAAATGCAACTTCTGCAGCAGCAAGCTGATTTCATACAAAACGTGTCAGCTTGATAGGAGACAGACAAAAATCCACAAACCACTCCGAAATTCATCATTGAAATACTACGTATTTATCATCATAAAAATCTGGCTGCAATCATATATTTATATTCCAGGATTAATTAGATAGGCAAAATAGTTTGGCATTTGAAAAATTTACTTTCCATAGCTGCTAACTGGTATGTAGACCTAAGCTGTCATTCTGGACTTTAAGCCAGGTTGATCCCATATATTTTATCCAAATAGGCTATATGGGGCCAACCGGACTTAAAGCACCATTTGGATGGAAACATTTGACCCATGAGCAGGTTTAGTGGTATGAGAACCCAGCCATATGCCATAAATGGTATTGCGCTATTTGCGTTGCTTTTACTACTACTCAAATCTGCATCCATCTTAACTCACCATTCAAAAGAAGTTCTTATAATTAATATGAAGTAAACTAGAGAAGGAACGGAAAAGAAAGTAAGATAGACATTTCACCAATAAAGCAAGCAGAGGATATTAAACGATTCTGTATTAGCCTGTCTTTGCCATCGACTCAGTATGAAACGAATGGCTCTAGCCATAAGATAGAAAGGAATTACAAAAGCAACAGCACGACACAAGGTGAACTGGAAACAGTACACACTATAAGACCAACCATTCTCTAGAAAGGAGACAGTAAAACTCATCAAGCGTTGATCACCAACTTACTGAAAAATAGGCCATAGCTTTCTCCCCATCAGTATTTAAGAGCGAAGCAGCATGCTTTAGAAGTTTAAGTGTTATATACTGCAAATTTGGAAGAGATAAAGCAAGCCTCAAACAATAGCCAAAAAAAGACAGCCAGAGATCCCAACAACAGTATGTGGGATACGCATAAAAATACAATGCTAAATGATACAGGTTAGAGATGAAGTAATGGTCTGGTAGCATGTTTAAATGCAAGACATTTGAGCCACATTATTTAATTTCAAGATCCAGCCAGAGGTACATACAATTAGACCAATAAACTGGAATAAAGCAATACCGCTCGTGCTACTGTAAACATAGTCATCATGCTCAGCTTCGAGGACATGGTGCTCCAATGCTCCAATTGCCAAAGTTTGAGGATCGTACAGATCTAAAGGGCCACGGGAGATTGTCCAACCAGTCCTGCATAATAGCCCAGAAGCATGAGGGAAGCAAAATAACAAGCAGTGATCATAACATGTGATGCACTTCCATAATTCCATTATGGGACTAGGCAAGGCAGAAAGGTAACAATATACTGCATGGCAGGTGCAGCTGGAAAGGTAAAATGAAACTGGACTAACATAAAAGAGGAAGAGTAAACAAAATCTATACCTTTTTATCTGAGAAGTAAAAACTCTCCTTTACATTTAAGCTAATCATATATGTAGTTTGTGTTATGCAAGCAAAAACAATAGGTGAATTCATAAAAGAATAAAACACTAGACATCAACATACAAACTACAGAATTTTCAACTTGCCTGATATTATTTGGAGCAACTTCGGGCTGTAGGGGCTATAACCCGGTTTGTACGGATGTGGATAAATTTAAATTTTCCATAAGAATATGTAATTTAATATGAATATGCCACTTTTTTTTGGCCTCAATATGCAACCATTGAATACACTACTTTAACCTTTCTTGGAACAAACGGCTAATTTTCTCCCAATGATCAACCTTTGGTTATTTATATTTCTATTCTACCCTCAGTATGAGCATGCATTGTTTACTTCTTTTTCTTCATTATCTAGGTTTGGCTCCAATATTGAGGTTCTTTGCAAACAGAGTTTGTAAACAGAGTTCATAATTCACAGTCCACAAACTGAAATTTGAAATCTGCATACTATATCTCAGAAGGTTAGCTGAAATCTGCCTTTTTTTTTTTTTTTTTTGCTGATATTGCAATGAGGTTACCTGATGGCAGATCTCACAAATAGTGTCTCCCTTTTCATTGCACCATAGCTGAACGCATCTCCAGTGTGCCAACTAATGTTTTAAAAAAAAAAAAAAAACTTTAATTGCATCATCAGATAAGATGTTTTCCATATACTAGATGCTAGTTATCAGTGCTATGTTTCGGCAACGTTTCATATGATTGAATTTAGAAAGTGGTTTATGGTATTAAAGATGCTTTCATGGTGCCCCTACAAGAACAGGGAATGTCCATATTATCAAGGCTATCCTCCTCCTGACAAATGCGACATTCTACTCTTTGAACAAGGTGGTCATCGTCCGATGTTTCACATCCGCCAACCTCAACGACATGAATAACACTATGATATATATCAGCAATTCGAGAACTGGAACCCTCATCACCATCATGCGGTGATTGCAGACTTGCAGGAATTACAAGGGGGTCGATAGACACAACGAAGTGGTCCTCCGTTGTTTGTCAGACAGCCGAACCTCCTATTGCCAACCCTTCCCTAAATTACCAAATTTTTCAAAAACGAAATTGATGAACAAAATCATGAGACGAAAGAGATAGCAAAAGTGGGGAAATCAGACAAACAGACAGGAAAAGATAGGTGCTTTTTCTTGAACCAAAAACTGAAAGATGCAAAGAAATGAATTATCAGTGAGGAGAAGGCTTGCAGAAATGCATGTGGAAGGAGGAAAATAAAAGATGAGAGAGGGAGAGAAAGAGCATTGTTATCCTAATAAACGAGGAGTAATGGAGGTTTCCTAGAGATGCATCCAAACGCACCGATTCAGGCGTGTTGAGTGGGAGAAGCTGAGTTCTCATGGGGGCGGTGGTGGGTGAACAAGCTCCATTTCTTTCGTGGGATTTCTTTTGGCTGCTGGTGTCTCCTCACGCATAGTGGGCGATTCTTCCCGTATCAGCAATCTCAAAGATCAATTTTACACTCTTTCTCTTTTCATTCGCCATCCATTTCTAATCATTCATAGTTTATTACTTGAGAACTGTAATCACCTGTAAAGGATACATCTGATGCCAGTAAATCTTATCCAGATTTGTACGAATACTTCAGTGATGCTGTCATCATATCACAGGCAGTATTTTTCGTTTTCCACCATAGCTGCACACTTCAACCTTCCATCCATCCATCCATTTCAGGTCCTACGAAAAACAAAAGAAAGTTAAAAACTTTCATTAATTTCTATTTTCTATAGATTATTTCCGGGCTATAGAAACCATCACTATCACTTGGATTTTCCGGAACTTTTCTTGTTGCCTTGCACACACAAATATACACGCCTATCACGTATAGTCATTCAACTGATACTCTGGGGGCACTTTGTAGCCTTGGAGGCTGGCACAATATAAAATAATCATCATCAAGTTCAAAAACTTATTAAATGTGGTATTATCTTTTTTTTCCTCCCTCCATCAATCGCTGATTTTTGAACCAACATTTCGAAAAATATTGAGATAAAGAATATGAAGATAATCCAAATTTTATTTGATTATATAAACTCAATAAATACCTAAATTTTCTCTCTTAATACAAATGTTTTATTAACTTCTTTTTGGCCGTAGGTTTCATTAACTTCTATATATACGAGTTAGCTTCTAATGTTGGCCAGGGGGTAAAAAGATTTAACTTCTAATATCTATTTTACCTGAAGTTAACTTATTATATCTGACGTTTTAAGCTATAATATAATATAATATAATGTGGAAATTGAATAACTTATTGCTAGCCAAAAAAATATAATATTACCTCCGGTCTTTAATATAAAACCTTATTTAACTTTTATTTTAGTTCTAAATATAAGATCGCAATCCAGTTTGTCTCTAATATTTGTATGTTTTTTTCCCAAGATAGTCTTAATAATAATAGTTTTAACCAACACACTTGATTAGCAAGGATATTTTAGGAAAAACAACACTTATTTATTACAAATAACTAACTTAACCTTTTCTTTTAATCTCCTCAAATTAGTCAATTAACTCTTATAATTAGGACCGGAACTAATAATAATCGATGAACTTAATGTCTTCATAAATACTACCAGTGCTACATTGAGTGGCAAAAAAAAACAATCTTACTGGAACATAAACGGACTCATCCGTCCCCTCTTCAGCCAATCATCATCATATTACCTATAGTTCATCAAATTTAAAAAAGTAGTCGGTCTGCTGGCCCAAAAAAAATGTAGTCAGTCCCTTTCATATTAGTTGTCACAAAAATAGTATTTTATCTGTTTTAATTTTATCTTTTATTTTGTTCCTTTTTGCTTTTAAATTTCAAGAATGCATTAAACTGGGAGTAATAATATTTATTTAAAGAAGACTTAGGACATTTTAAGAAAGTAGTAGATGATAGATTCTTTTTAATTATAACCCACACACCTATTAAATCCTTTATGAAATATTCAAATTCACAATCTCACATTTTTAAAAAAAAATTAAAAGAGGTGTTTAGTATCATTTGGCTATAAGCCCCCGAAAGTAGTACATTAATCTTATAAAAAATATGTTATTCAATAATTTCCTTACTCTCCATAAAAATTGTTTTTGTAATAGGTCATATAAAAGAAAAGGGCAATAAAGGCATGAGATCAATTACGGAACACGATCAACAACTACATCCAGAAAAAATTACGACAACATAGATCAACCCAGGTCTAGGAAAATTATATTAATATATATATATGTATATATTACAGAATCGTATTTCGTTGCGACGCCGAAAACAAATTGGTAAAAAAAGTGCTATGATTAGGATCAGGAGCTTAGGACAACCCAGCTTTGAAATCCAAAATTCCAAAATTCTATCTATCTATCTATTACTCTTAGGAAAAATTATCTTTACATGGTGAATCTAATGAATCGGTGGCAAAAAAAAAATCTAATGAATCGAATTATCTTGTAATAAATTCAGGAAAACCAAAAAATTGCACTGAATGGATTTCACAAGCGTTCACAACTATAAGAAAAACCATGGACCCATGGAATAACTCTTTCATAACTCTACTAGCATTTAAAGACAATAATTTAAAAATAATCATTAGTCACTATACTCTTCCCCATTATTTAAGAAGGTATTAATCAAATCATTCAATCAGTGCAAAACAATTAATATTGTGAATTATGGACTAAATGTAACTTACATAACCACATGCTTGTCTTCGTAACAGAAAGTGAACGAATGATTAGTGAATATCACCCATTTAAAAAATGATGATTAGTGAATTCGATCAGTCGGTCGATGGAAGCCTCCACTGTTAAATGACAGAAAATATCATAATTAAATAAAAGATGGATAAACCCCAAATAAACAAAATGCCTTTCTTCTGATTTTTATATCTGGTTCCATGGAAATAAATGATTCACTAGAGTTCAGAGAGTTGGCGGAATTGTGATTTAGTGTGTTCAACTTTCTAGTTAATACTGTTGCTTGGAAGAAACACTAAAGTGTGTCATCAGCTACATATATAGTATTTTCTTCTATGCATGCTCATGGATCATGATGAAGCTCTTGGTTTTCAGGATCTCAGCACATAGTAGCAGTAGCATTACTACTCTTCGCTGGTTTCGATTACTACTTACGTAGAATGAGGTTCACACTGAACGAGGTGGTAACCGATAAGAACACATCTTGGAGGTTAATTATGAGTCTACTCGGCTAGGTACTAATTAATTGAAATTATTAGCCCTCTAAAAATTAAGGGGTGAATAGATAGGAATAATTATCCTTTCGTAATTAAAACTGATCTTGTAACTCTCGCAAGCACTGTACACGTTAAACATTAAGTCTCATTCATGCATGGAGGCGGCGGCGCACATTCTCCAACAAGTGATTATCCTCCCCTTTAATTTACTTCTCATACATTCATCATCTTCACATTCATGCTTTTTTCCTATATATATATATATATATATATATATTGCCTTCTTTCTCTCCTGCCCATCCACCCAGAGATCAGAAAACTATATTCTCCTTTTTCTCTGTCTGGGTTATATTCATCTGCAGCATGATGATGATGGGGAATCAGAGTCAGCCACTCGTGGGATGGAATGCTAAGAATGAATACGATGAAGTTCCATTCCCTCTCCCATATCCATTACCTTCATCTGACTTCAGGTATACATTAAACTGCTTCTGTACTTTCTGGTTAGGAATATGTTCTTAGAGTTGCTCTCATTATTGTAGTATCTTTTTCATCAGCGGAAATGGCAATGGATATTTTGGACTGGATTGGGCTGATGAGTTTGCCGCACCTTGGACGGAACCGGATGCTTTGTATGAAACCCTGGCCATTGAGCCAACACCGAGCGTGCAAGGTGTTTTGATTTATCGGTTTCTCTTGTCAACATGTATGTAGTATACCATTCTGATGTATAGTTTATGATCTTCTTCTACAGACTATGACTTTTACGACATTAAAAAGGGACTAGCAATATGGAATGAGATTGACCATGGGTTTGATTCAAATAAGCCTGTTTATGTGGCCTGCAATAATGAAGAAAGGGGGAAGGAAGTGAAGGAGGAAAGGGAGGTGAAACGATCAGGCCGAGAAGAGAGAAGTGGCAGCACCAAATTGTTGTCAAGGAAGACTATTTCTCAGTACTTCTATATGCCCATCACACAGGCGGCAAGGGAGCTTAATGTGGGCCTCACACTTTTGAAAAAAAGATGCAGGGAATTGGGAATTAGAAGATGGCCGCATAGGAAACTGATGAGCCTTCAAACCTTGATAAACAATGTAAAGGTTCGTTTCGTTCGATGCATTGTCAGATTTTCTTTGCTCTAATTAAAACGGTCGTGCATGTAGGTGCTGCAATTAATTTGGATGTTGATGCAGGAGCTAGGGCAAGAGGGGGGCCAGGAAAGTGAAGAGAAACTGAGGAATGCGCTTGAGATATTGGCGAAGGAAAAGAAGCTGATGGAGGAGATGCCAGATTTGCAGCTTGAGGATAACACAAAGAGACTCAGACAAGCTTGCTTCAAAGCCAACTACAAGAAAAGGAAGATCATGGGATCCTCAATGGAATCAGAGTCTTCAGCGAGTGAATATAATTATGACGATCAACTACATGACATCAAGCATCTGTTGCCATCCATCCCTTCCCATTTTACATCATAAATGTTCTTGCCGGTTTCTTCTTCTGTGCGTTACGTGAACGGTTTCCTCTGTGTTTTTTTTCTTTTGGAAAAATGGCAATAGAATGATTTTGGTTCTAGTCTGGACTAAGGTACTTCGGTAGAAATGAACGCCGATCAATCGTGTTCGATTTTGGTTAGACTATTAGAGAGAAATGAAGGATACACATTGAAGGATTTCGTTATATCTGAAAGAATACGGGGGAGTGGAGATTCCCCCGCATGAGCGCCAGTCATTAAATTTAACAATCAGTTGAACCAAATTCCCGCTTTTTCTCTCAAAATTTGGTAAATTTTAGCAGTAAAAAGAAGACCTAATTTTATTAAATATACACTTGGTCATAAACAATGTTCAGAACCTGAATATTTTTGTCTCCTTGAAATTGACAGAATTTAAATGAAAAGTGAAGGGGCCTAATCTAGGCATTGACTTTGTACATTGATTGATTTATGAATTATTTATCATATGCGTGACGCCTGAGAGAAGCAAGAGCAAGCCAAAAAAATTGCAGAAGATGAAACTCAGGAAGAAGAGACAAATTTGATCGAGAAATGGGATAATCATGCCTGATGATACAGCTGCCACCAGTGTGCAATGAAGTAAAATAATTTATCCTTAATTTGCTGGTTTGTATGACTCACCACTAGCAGTGATCCTGCCAAATTGGTAGATAGGCATTATTTTTCAAAATCTGACAAGAACGACCATCACAACGTTTCTACATGATAACGTTAGTGATATACTGAGATATCTCACCCAACTCAAAGCTCAACAAAAGACAACAGAAATGGAAACTCCCGTTCTACAAAACTGGAAGCAGAATGATGATGCTACAACAAATCTATGTAAGAAGTGCTTATTCTTCAAAGGACGCTTAGGCAGCAACTGATTGTTTTGAAGCAAAATCGATTCCCTTCTCAATGCTAGCCTTAAGTTCTGGTTTTAGTGCTTCCACTGCCTTCTGCTCATACTCAGTCAACCCTTGGAGGTCAGATGTTACGAAAGCTTCCAACCCTTTTCTTCCCAGCTTTACCCTTGAGGCAAAGAATGGAAGCTCAGTCAGTTCTGACTGTACATATGAGCACTCATACACATCCCCATCTCCGTCGAGCGCACGGAGAGATGATTCCACAAATCTAGCTGCCGCGTATGCCATTGACAAAGTGGCAGACCCTGCACCTGCCTTTGCTTCAACAACTTCTGTTCCAGCATTCTGAATCCTGACAGTTAACTGTTCGATTTCTTCATCAGTAAAACTTACTGTAGGTTTTGTCTTTGACAACAGAGGAAGGATGGTGATCCCGGCATGACCTCCCACAACTGGGACATCAACATCAATCAATTTCAGGTTCTTCTTCTGTGCGACAAATGTGTTTGCCCTCACAACATCCAAGGTAGTAACACCGAAGAGCTTCTTAGGATCATATACGCCCTTCTGTTTCAGAACTTCAGCTGCAATAGGCACCGTAGAATTTACTGGGTTGCTGATAACATGAATAAAAGCATCAGGGCAGTTATCTGCAACAGCTGAAACTAAGTCCCTAACGATGCCAGCATTGATGTTGAAAAGGTCATCACGAGTCATGCCGGGTTTTCTTGGAACTCCAGCAGGGATGACAACTACATCTACACCTTTCAAAGCGTTTGCTAACTCAGGAGGTCCAGTGAAATCCTTAACTTGAGAGGGAGTATTGCAATGACTGAGATCAGCAGCAACTCCCTTGACATTGGCAATATCATAAAGATGAAGGTCGGAAACTAATGGGGACATCTTGATAAGAAGAGCTAAAGGTTGACCAATTCCTCCAGCAGCGCCAAGAACTGCCACTTTGTAGGAAGCTTGGGGCTGCAAGTGGTACTGGGGGTTTTGGTTTGTCTTTTGAGCTTTGGGTGCAAAAGAAGCCCTAAAAGCAGCAAGAGTTTCCTTGCCCAAGAAGGATGTTTCTGCTTCACAGCTAATGTGGGATGCTGCCTTGAGACCACAGAAGCTCTTCAGAGAATTCTGAGACTTGAACCTCAAATCAAAGGGTTTTGATTGGGGAAGTGAGCTCCCTCTTTGGCTGAGGGAGGTGGCTGATCCAATTGTGAAGGTTGCTGCTGAAGCTGCTGCCATCTCAGTGTCTGTGACGCACAGAGTATTTACCCCATTTCATTAAAACATTCGGAATACATATTGAAACCATAAAAATTATAAGGTACATAACGCACACAAATGTAGATGAAGTTGCAAAAATAGAAGAAACAGGGGAAAGGAAAAACAGAGACAAAACACAAGGTTTTTTAAATCACAATTTGCCTGATAGCCGGGAAAAAACTGACTTAGAGTTAGAAACCATGAAGGTCAAACGCAAAGAAACGGGTATCACCTCATCTAAAGAAGCAGAGCAAGGCACAAACAGATGATAACTAGAGCAGAGTAGTAATAAAATGACTTATTCATACAACTGACCCAGTGATAAATTTGACACCTATTAACTACATCTTACTTCCACTCAAACAAGTGGCAGAATTACCAGAAAAACTAAAGGCCGTTGCCTTGTCTAAAGAATTATAAATTTTATTTGATTTATCTGACCCGATCAGAGGATAAAAGCAAATTATAGATAAAAATTGAATCGGCTGGCTAAAATTATGTCATCTGCAAAAATTTCGAAGTTGCACTACATTAGAAAATATATTAGTCAAGCATTCTACTTTCTGACGTTGAGCAGAAACTTTCAATAGAAAAAAAAAGAAGAAATTGTTACATTTGTAAGATACAAATACAAATACACTACATATTAACTATGCAAGGCGTAGCCATTGTTTTCATTCCACCCCTCGCAAATAAAGAGAATAAAATATACAGCTCCCTGTTGTTACATTCTCTATATAAGTCACCTCATAATAGACATTCCTAGGTGAGTATAGTAATTTTGTCCGCCCTGATGTAAAGTCCTAACATTCATCAGTCACATATACCATAGAATCAGAAAAAACTCCAATGAATTGATGTATTCTATAATAACAAGGAATACTTTTCTTGGATACAAACAATATCCTTCATCAAACACATTGCCCATAACAGGAATGGACACGAATTCAGCTCAAATACCAAACATCTCTCAATATCAAAATAAATATAGTGGACAAGGACAAAAAGCCAGCACCCATCAGCCCCGGAAAGAAGAGCAAGCTGCAACTCTACGAAAGGTATCGACTTTCAACAAGATTAACATGACCAGATCCGGTACCACAACTTATAACGAAGTTAATATCGAAAAAATAAAACAATGGAAAGACGAGATCTCAGGGACAAAACGCCTCAAACACTCGGAAACAAATAAACGAGAGAGAAAGAGCAGAAGAGAAGCAAAGGAGAATGAGTCAAACCTCGGATAGCCCAGAATTCAAGCTAGGACGGGAAATGAAGTCGGTGAAGCTCGAACCTTTCGGTTCGGTAGAGAAAATAGGGAAGGAGAGGGAAAATGGGGATTTTTACGAAGCAAATATGAAGCCCTTCACGCTTGGAATCTCCGCCTATTAGCTTCGTACAAATCACTGTTGCCTTCAAATGCAAAGTTCAGGGGTTGGTGAGGGAACGTCCCTAGTAGAGGCGGTAACGCTGTTTATAACGGAATCTGTTCACCTTTGTCCTCAGAATCTACCCAAGAGAGAGAGATTATCTTTTCTGACTCCTAAATCCTGGCCCTTCGCGTCTTCAACGGATCTGATGTATGTAAATATTTATAGAAAAAGTAAAACATGACTTGTGCATGAATTATGAAGTCATTACATTTTTTCATTTTATATTTGATGATATTGATAGTGATTGTGACATTGGTGTCTAATGGTTAATTAAGACATGGTGTCTGTCTATATATACACACACATATATATTCAAGAACAATGCATAATAAATACTACTCCTCCGGTTCTTACTCAATTCGAGTTAGTTTTAGTCATAAATATAAGACTCATTTCTTATATTTATCAATTTTCTCTAAATTGTCCCTATAGATATTCCCTCAACCATAATCAAGTAAAGGAATGAGAGAGGGTATTAAGAAAGATGATTATGGTGTTTTAGGAAAACTATGTCACTTTTTTTATAATAAATTAACTTACCTAACTTTCTTAATATAATCAAATTAATTAAATGGGTCTTATATTAAGGACCGGGTGAGTACCTCTAATCCTAATTATAAGACCTAGTTGACTGATTTGAAGAAATTAAGGAAGTAAGTTAAATTATTTATATATAATAAATAGGTATTATCTTTCCTAAAATATTCTTACTAATCAAATATATTGACTAGAATTACCATTATTAGAAGGACCATCTTAGGAGAAAATGTATAAATATGAGAGACAAAGTAGATTAGAGTTTTATATTTAGAACCAAAATAAAAGTCAAACAAAATCTTATATTAAGGACGGGAGGTAGTGTAATTTTTATAACTAAAAGTTATATGAGTAAATTCTTTTAATGAACAGAAAATGAGTCATTAATTAGATGAAATTGTTTACTTGTTTTAATATATCTATAATTATAGTGTGATTCTAACGCATTTTTAAACAAAATCAGTGCAATCCGTAGACAAGCTTCATATTAAAAAAAATAAAAAAACTATAGATTGATAAGACAGAAATATATAAAAGAGTAATACCTGACCGATCAAGGATTTTCATGATATGTATATGTATTCACATCCTTATCTAATAATACTAAGTATTAGTTCAAAAGTTTGTTTGACCTTCAATTTAATTCTAAATATAAGATCATGATCTTTTTTTTTTTTATATTTATCCATTTTTTTAAAGTAGTCTTTATAGGTTGCACATGTTAAAGATTCCATCGAATGATAATTCTAGTTAGTACATATTATTAGTAAGAATATTTTAGAAAAAATAACACCTATTTATTACAAATAATTAACTTGACTATTTTTTTTAATCTTCCCAAATTAGTCTAAGTTGGGTTCAGGGGCTTATTAAGGTCAGGGTATGCCTTGAAGCTCAAAGAACTTTTACTGAGATATTTACAGATTATTTACTTACAAAATCCTCATATCAATAATGAGATTCAAACTGAAGATTTTGTAGGTTATGAGCTGACTCCTTGCTCATCGGATTAAGTCTCGTTGGTACTCCTAATTAGCATATTAAATCAATGAATGATGATGCACACAAACAAGTCTGCTCGCACCGCCGCTGTGAAATTTGGATTTTCAATTGGGCCCAAAATCCAAACATCAAATCAGAAGAATCTCATGCTGATTTGTACCGGGAAAAAAGAAAAAGAATCTGGTGCTGAAAATTCAGTGGGCAGGCCACAGAATTTTGCAAAACAGTGTATTTATTGTAAAGTTATTACAATTTTTTTTATTTTCATATCATTGATATTAATGTTACTAAACTATAATTTTAAAAATATTCTTACAATATACAAAATAAATATGAAAAAAATTTATCTTGATTTATAAAAAATATTTTTTTAAATTTTTTTTGAGGCGTTCCAAACACCTCCTAAAACATGTTGGGTGTGAGTGTATACATATTCATGGACAATATGATTAATATAATTTTTTAACTAAACTGTTGGCGGAAAAGAAACTAATTTTTTGAACTAAACATTATATCGTATGAGTAAATTTTTTCAATGAACAGAAAATGAATCAGTAATAAAATGAAATTGTTTGCTTGTTTTTAATATATTTATAATTAGAGTGTGATTCTAATGCAATTTTAAACAAAACTAGAGTAATCCATTAATAAGCTTCATATGAAAAATCGAACACTATAATTTGATAAGACAGAAATAAAAGAAAGAGTAATACCTGACTGACCAAGCATTTTCATAATATGTGTTTTGCGCTTGGTATAATTCATTTTCACATATTTATTTACGGACAATATTAATATGCATATTAAGTCAATAAACAATGATACGCAAAAAGAACTAGGATCAAGTAGAAAGAAAAACTTGCAAAACACCAAATCTAATGGCATTCAATTCATCACATGAGTCGTGCTTTACTTATTCTATAAATATATTTACGCGAAGGGTCAAGATTTAGGAGTGTAACTCAAAAGAGATAATTTCTTGGCCTGAATTTTGCATTTGAAGACAACAGTGATCTGTTCGAAGTTCATGGGCAGAGTTTCCAAGCGTGAAGGCTTCATATTTGCTTCGTAAAAATCCCCACTTTCGCTCATGAAGAATCATAGCACCCCTATGAAGTCCTGATCTAAACGTCTACGTGACATGGAAGTAACTGCACAGTTCCAATTGCAGTCGCAAGCTCATTCAAGAAAGTCAGAAACCAAGCACTTTATTCCCAAACACTGAGCAAATTAAGGTCTCACAAATTCGACTCCCTCAATAAACGAAAGGAACAGGAAACTCACCTGTTGACGGCCCACAAACTGAACGAGGACTTAGGAGGAGGACAAATCAGATCTGGTAGACTCGGATTCTCACTGTTGAATTCGAAGGAAAGAGCTGGAGAGGGGAGTGGAGGGCCGCCCTGAGCTTCTGTGATTTGGGAATGAGACTGTTGCTGACGAAGAGATCTGGAGGGGAGGAGGAGTGGACGCCGGCGATGCTGTGGCTTGTGCTCGGAACTGGAGTGGACTATCGTTAGCCGTTGCTGGGCTTAGGAGGCACCGTAAGAAGATGAGGAAAGGGTTTTGAGTGACAAGTGAGTCTTTCGGCACTGAATTTTGCAAAACAGCACAAAGTTATAGTAGTGTTGATTATTGATCATCGAATTGAATTCCCTTTTTTAGCGCCGAGAGAAAAAAGGACAACCACATTATTTAGATCACATGATTCATCTCCCAATCTCTCTTGGAAAATTTCCTTCCTTCGTTCTATCGTGCCAAAAAATGAAGGGAGAACAGGTGTATAATCTAGGTAAACAATTTAAGTACTAAAAAATTCTACAATAAATCTTCAACATGTAGTGACAAAATCTGGTATGAGAGATAAGAACAGGTCTCAGTATATGGATCACTTAAAAATTCTCTTAGTAATTAAATTACTTAAGTGGGAATACACCCTAATTTCCCTGGGAGAAAAATCTACAAATCAACAACTTAACGTGACTAGTGACGACTGCATGATATTAGCAGAACTTGAGAAAACAAACATCATTATCAGGCCAATGAGCATTAATCCTGTGCCTTGCCCTTCCACGCCACACAGCGGGCAACTTGATACCTATTTATTTTTATTTTAAGCAAATCATCCGCAAAACCATCTTAAATCAAGTTTCTCCCCTTAAACTTCCTATCTACTTTGTCAAGTCTCTTGTTTTTCGGACATGAAGATTCAGAATCTGCCAATCCATGACATAATTTTCCCACTGGCGATGTATAATATCCAGTTAGATACAACCATATAGCAGTTTGAACCCTTAACAGGAGAAAAATCATCATTGATACATACAACTTAAAGCTGGAATCTCTAATTTTCCAGCACGGCTGAACCGAAAAAAAGGGTCTCAGTTCAATCGCTTTGCATTCTAAGAACCATATTTGAAACTTATAAAATGATAGGAGTTCATACATTAAGCTTATCCATCTCCCTCCTGAGTGCATTAGCCCTCACCAAGCTTCCGATGGTGTTGACGGCCAGCTTCAAATCCTCCAATGGATTCCCAGGCGCCACCGTCTTGTACAGATAGCTATCAAAAGTCATCTTCTGCACATACTCATCGGCACACATCTCCACAAACGCCTCTCTCGCTGGGTTCGACCTGTAGAACACCTTCTGCAACACATCCAACACCTTGTACGTTGGCCAATATGTTTGATCCCACTTCTTCAAGTACTTCCTCAAATCATCTTCGTTCACCATCTTCTTCCCATTCTCTGAGCCTTCCACGATCGCTTCTGCACACATCCTTCCACTCTTTGCCGCAAAATAGATTCCTTCGCCGGAGCATTTTGTCACGTATCCGGCAGCGTCACCGACCAGTGCTACTCTCCCCGACAACCTTCTTGGTCTGGGGTGTTCTGGTATGGGATGGGCCTCTACTCGGATGATTTTGCCTCCTAGAATCTTGTCCTTTGCTCTGTTCCTTGTAGCAAGTTGGAATTTCTTGATGTCTCCCTTGTGAGTCACGGTGCCGGTTCCCACAGCCACATGGTCGCATTTTGGAAACACCCATCCATAGAAATCTGGAGAAACATCATCACCCACGTACATTTCTGCAAGATCCTCGTAATACACCATCTTGTCGTCCGGAATTTTAATCCTCTCCTGGAAAACCATGGCGGCAGATTGAACATGTGATGGTAAAAGGAAAGGTTCAAAGCATGAAATTTCCAGCACTCCAGAGAACCAATTCGGGAAATTAACAGCAACTCAATAAAAAATTAACAAAATTCCAAGTTGTTCTACTTTATTTCTTCTTTCTTTATTTCTTTTTGGGTTAAGGCGTATGAACTGTGAAGTAACAATCTTGAACAAAGTTCCAGAATCCAGTGAGAGAGATTCGAGAAAGCCTGATGATGAATGTACCTGAAAAGCAATGGCGTATTCGTAGTCACCAGCATTAATAGACTTGGCGACTCTGGAATTAGCCCCATCAGCTCCAATCACAGCGTCCACTTCCAGCGTACGCTTTTCACCGACCCCACCGGTTTTCCCGTCGTAGCTAGAGAAATGCAAAACGTAGGGGGAATTCTTGTCTTTTGGGATATCCATTTTCAGAAACAACCCGTTTATGATGGTCGCCCCATTTTCCTTGGCCCGGTCCCTCAGGTAAGAATCAAGTACCTCGCGCCGAACCATGCCGATGTATTCATGAGGTTTGAGGGTTTGACCGATATCGACGGCAACATTCGACGGAGAAATCATCTTCATTTTCGTGACACGGCGATCGATGATGTCCAAAGGCAAGTCAAACTCTCCGACCATACAGAGCGGAATGGCTCCACCGCATGGCTTGGCATTGTCGAGCTTGCGTTCAATTAGGTATGTCTCGATGCCACCTTTGGCTAATGTCTCGGCGGCTGAACCGCCAGCGGGACCACCACCAATGACTGCCACACGGAGATTCCGACCAGAGACCAGGGGGCTGTACTTACCGGCGACGATTTTGAGCTTCCGGTGGCGGATAGTAATGACTTTAGCTTGGCCAGTGAACTGGGTCTTCTCCGGCGACACTTGCCGAAGACCGACGAAGGATTTGAGCGCGATGGAGTTCATGTTTTGATGGGGTGTGAAAGCAGAGAGCTCAGAGCGAAAGAAGGGTCTCCGTTTATGCCTTTTTTTTCGTATGGTCGATGGATATGATTGAGGATTTGAAGGAATTGGGGACGTCCGATTGGTGAAGCTGACGGCGGAGATTTGATGTGGATAATGAAGTTTGGATTCTCGGGATGGTCTTGTCTTGGTTCTATTCTTCCGACCCGAGTTACTAAAAGAGTGCTTCGCTTTGGTTGCCTGTGAGAGGCTGGCCAGTTGCCACGTTGTGATACTTTCTGCCTGAACTCGCAAGATCTTTAGTGCCATGTCACTTCTCCTTCCCAATGACGTTTTGCCACATCAGCAGAACGACCCATCCACAACCTCACTGTTACATCCCTCCAGGGTTGAGATTTTTTAAGGTGATGAGCGATTTTTTTTTTAAATTTTTTTATGTATATATTTCCGCTCTACTTTAGAAAAAGTTTACGCATCACGCGAAGAAAAAAATATATAATTATCAAAAAATTGCCAAACAAATAAACAATATGTAATAATAAGATCTAGCATAATAAATAACAATGTGTCGCCAAGTGTTGGTTAAAAAAAAAAGTGTATTGCCAAATTATTTTGAGACCTTTTAATAAGCATTAGCTTTAATTTGCAATGCAATTTGAACTTTAAATTAGATTTTAAATTTAGAACCAGTCTGATATTAATTTTCCTTTTATTTTCTACATGATTTAATTCTTCATTTCTTGTCCTGGGAAAAAAAAGTTATGGGGAACGTCAGACTGACAGAAAGTCGGAAACAAAAGCATTGCAAAGCTAATATGAATAATTAAACTGTGACAAAAAGAAAAAATGAATCAGGTCAAAAAACAAAACAAAACAAAAGTAAAAAATGAATAATGCAAATCCACCCTTTCTTCCATTTTGCTTTTTTAATCTGCGTTCGTATGCTAGCTCGTTTCTGGTAAGTGCTAACAATAATGGCTGTAAAACCAGCCCCCTTGAAAGCGAAGTATAACGAAAGTCTACTGATTCGTACCTCCTACTCAGAACTCCGAAGCACGCCTGCGCCCTTTTATGCATAACATCTTTTATTTACCAAAATAATGTAATTTACTATTGTCTCCTCATCGGGTACGGTTTTGGGCTGGCCCAATGGGCTGCTTACCCCTTGAGTGTGCCTCGTGAGGTCCTATACGACTGGGCCACCCCACTGCCCATTCAACGCGATAAAATTTGAAGATCCTGAAGACTGTGTTGCTGCCAATTAGATTGAGTCTAATAGAATGGATTAATTTTTTACAACGTGACGAACCAAAATTTAAATCCCTGTTAAAAGAAGTATCCATATTTAATGCTTAATAATATTTCAAATAGGATTGACTCTAATAAGAGAATACCTGTGTGATAGTGGACATTCAGTGTCGTATAGCATACATAACATTTTTGTTCAAGGATAACAGGTGGATGAATAAGACAATGCTTGCTTTTCAACATGATCTTTTTTCCCCCTTCATAATCTTGTTATGTTCTGAATTTAGTATATTGAGGTTCATCTGGCACGTACGCGTATGCGTCCAGCATCTTTTAGAATCATCACACCCACCCCTCTAGTGTGTATCATTATTATGCATTACACATCAGTATATAATTGCAATGCGCAGCATTATAAGACTACAATATATTATGCTAATGTTGGATTGCACACAGATTGCCTCAAAAAAATTTAGAATCTAATTGCTTATAACAAGGCCCTCCACTCTTACAGGTGTACGATTCTGTTCTCATTTGTAAACAGATGTTGGACTAGCAGCCAGAGATCATTAGCTAAAAATATCATAATCAGAAGAAGAATAAAGAAGTCTGTGCCCATAACAGCTTTGTGTGAAGCACTTTCTCCACTGATTGATCCGAAGCAGTTATTAAATAGTTTGCTTTTATGAGATCTGTGAAGCATTCTGAGTGCTAAGTAATTGACATGATTGCTTCAACGATTTGGATTCTTTCATTGATAACTTTCTACCAACTTCCCTCCCTGTTTCTGGGTGGTCAAACGGTATCCTAGTTTTATATATCCTTTCGCTGAAAGAAGGGGTACAAACTAAAACTATTTGTCCGTTTGATCATACATGGAACCTGTCATCTACTACCCAACTTTATTTTGAATTCTTTTTTTATTAGTTAATATGGAGTGCAATATTAATGGCACCGTGCATGGTGGCCCATATATGATCAAAGAAAAGAAAAACACCTTGGCTCACACAGGCCCCTTGGGACTTAATGTGAGATATTTTATTATTATTATTATAAATTATTTAGGTATTTAATTAGGAATTAATAAAATATCCTGAGTGTGGCTCGTGGTCAGGAAAAAGGCCCAAGCCCAGTAGGGTTTTTATTTTCAGTCAGGATTATATTTCTCTGATTGTGAGAATTTAATTATGAGGTTTTTGATGACTAAAAGTTTACAGAGCGATACATTCAGAAACAATAAATCCTATCTGCTCCTTGAGGTTCCCTGACTGGTGATGGCTGAACCCGGTTGCCATCACTGTGCCTATCTCAGTCAAAAGAGACTTGAATCAATTTTCTCCTGATTCTAATCTATCTTGCAACTCTCATATTAATTAAGCAATAACTATGGTGAGAGGTAACTCTAATCTTAAGATTTTCCGCTGTATGTATTATAAGAGGATTCATTTTGTATTATCTAGATTGAATATAGGGTTAATTAATCTGGAAGTCCTTATAGTTTTAACCAATTTTGAATTAGGTCCTTATAGTTTTTTTTCTTTTTATCAGGTCCTTATACTTTCATCTATTTTTAATTAGGTCCTCGCATTTATTTTTCTTTTTATTAAGTCCTTATAATTTCACTAAAATTTTAATTAGGTCCATCTAGTTTTAATTTTTATTTATTAATTAAATATGAACTTAATTAAATAAATTAGTACTGAAATATAAAATATTAATAATTATATAATAAAAGATAAGTAATATAATTAATTAATTAAGGAAATTTTTTTAAAACAATTAATTTTTTTTGCTAAAAAAATAAAATTATTATAATAATTCATTATTTTTAGAATATTATTGTTTATAAACTAATATTACATAATATATACTATTTTATGTTTATAAAATAGTACTATTAGAATTTATAAAATAAAGAATAAAAAATTCAGGGACTTACTTAAAAATAAGGTGATCTTATAAGGACTTGATAAAAAGAAAAATAAATACAAGGACCTAATTAAAAACAGGTGAAAGTATAAGGATCTGATAAAAAGAAAAAAAATTATAGGGACCTGATTCAAAATTGGTTGAAACTATAAGGACTTGCTACTTAATTATCCCTTGAATATATTATATATATGTTATTTTGAATTTGTCTTACACTTCATTTTTAAGTAGAAGAAGTCTGTATGAATGATTGTAATATCGATTTCTATTAAACATAAACTTCACACAAACGAAAATATATTTTGATGAATAATTGTAAAATAAATAAATCTATCTTATTCTAAAATTGACAAACAGCATCAATTCTATATTAAGTGTAACTGTGTGCAAGTATGTGTGCATGTTGAATTAAGTCTTTTACAATACCGCAATAGTGCTATAAAAGAGAGAATGGGACGAGGAAATATGAATGAAACCCATTTCATCTAATCACACGCCCATTCTAAATTTTTTATCTCCATCTTTGTTAAACAAAACATACCATAAACAATGCAGAGAGCATCAACTCTGTGTGTGTATGGGTGATATTCTTGGATAAAAAGAAAAAACAACAGAAAGGGAAATTTGTAATTTATTAATCCCAGTGTTCTTTGAGACAGACAGACAGATAGATAGGGAACAGCAGATGAGCTTGCATAGACAAGTTCTTGAACAAACAGAAAGGCTTGTAGTTCTAAGATTAACATTACTTGGTAGTCTAAATACCCCACTAAATTACTCTCTCTCTCTCACACACACACACCCCCACACATGATTGCCTCGTAGAGTTTTACCATCTAAAGCCAGTTATTGAGAAGCAGAATTTTCCTGATAACTGCACTTAAAGTTCACAGGTCACAAGGGACACCCTTACGATACAGACACATCAATACATATTTCACACATTATGCTCCTTTTGGAGTGTGACGAGGATTAGGTCCATATGGTGAGTAGTCATGAAGTTCCAAGTCCATCCTCTCGCGTACACCTGACTCCTCCTTCCTCTGGTTTTCCTTAACAAAGACCTGTTCACGAACACAAGTTGGTTGACATATAATGCAACACATATGCCTTAAACCAGTTTATATACGATTCAAGAACATCAAGATCAAAACCTCTTGCTTATTTTCTGGAACAAGATGAACCTTCGGAACTTGCATAAGGTTTTCAGTTCCTGCTTATACACACAAGACAGAAAATATTGCGTAAGGACTCCAGAAAAGGAGGAGAAGTGAGAGAATATAGTCGTAGAACTTAATTACTTGTGATTGGGACTGCTTTCGAGCATAGAAGATGAGAGAGCCCCAAAAATATCAGAAATAGACGAAAGAGAGTGCCTGCCATTACTGCTATGAACTTCTAAGCTCTCGGTTGTGTTGCTTCTGATATATGGTAGGTGGGCAATTTATAGCGGTGGATGCGATGTTTCTAGATGTAGGAGCATGTTAATGGGGATGACATGAAAGCAACCACATTGCCAAGGTCAAAAAAGGTGATAGCAACCCATCATTTTAAGGGGAACTGAGGCTCGTTATATAGCTTTTATCAGTAACGTTGGTTGTGGATGTGAAAACTCAAAACCAGTTATTGGGGGGCAACTAAAAGGCACAAGGTATATTTTAAGTGAAGATAGAGCACACTATAAAAGTGGAAAGATGACGCAATTCAGAAATATCGGTGTGGCAGAACCTGCATTACACCAAACAATGAACAAATAGTATTGAAATGGTCAAGATAGGTATTTTCTGGGGTTAAACAATGTGATCTACCATCCTTATTTTATTTTTGATACGCTGGATGGCTCTGATCTAAATCTGATAACACAGCATGAGAGTTAATGATACTGGCTTTGTTCAGCTTCTGTGTAGTGCATGCACATTGAATATTTTGGAAAGTCACATTCAAGTTGTGGGGGAAAAAGTGGGGACAGCACTGTTGGTCCATTATATGAACCTAGACTAGTGTGGTGACAAGTTTGTTCTGTGGCGATCAAAACTTAGCATGTATAAATATAAGTAGTTGCGTGGTCACGTCTCTCCCATAATAAAATGGAGACAGATACAGAGATCATAATTTCCGGGTCTTCTGTGGGATGGCCACATTAAAGAACAGGTTCTCATGGAGAAAGTAGCATCAAGTTGGTAAACTGAATATAATTGGTTTGTTCGGCCAAAAAAATGTGTATATAATTGGTTTGTGGAATGATGAGTTTTTTTTTTTTTTTTTTTGAATAGATGGAATGATGAGTTTAACTTGCCTTAAATTAAATGTGATTATAATGGGTTGATGAATTTAACTTGCCTTGATGGATTGATGAATGTTGAGGAAACTTGCGGATAATAGCGATGGGTTTACGTTTAACGCAGACTGGGCTTAATGGAGTTGTTGGATCCCACTTTCTGACCCACACCTCTGCCCCTTCAGTTTGTGTTGGGCTAAGAACCCTAACACTAAATGCCCATTAACCATTTAGACTTGGCCACTTGCTCCCCTTTGGTCTACTGTCTTTCTCTTCCGGTTCAAGTTTTGGGCTAACATGGGTCATTCCAATCGGGCTCCTCAGTATATGTGAATTCTGTTGAAGAATTTCTTCATTCTAAGGAGGTGTTTGTCTAATTCCAAAAATCTGTAAATCAAGACAAATTTTTCTACATGTTTATTTCGTATACTGTAAAAACACTTTTAGAACCATAATTTTGTATCTACCTAAACACCCCCTAAACCCATTTTGCTTCTGAAGTTCAGAGTTTTTTTCAACTTATCCTTAGCGATGGCATGTACCAAAAGGATTTTGATTGATAGAGGTAATGATTAAAAGAACATGTTAAGAAAATTAGCATATTCCTGTTATAAATAGCTAACTAAACTAATTTTCTCGATATATGTAAATTGATAATCTAACAGATAAAGTATAAATTAATAATTAAGTTGCAGCTTATCGAGTTGTCCCATATTAGAAGCAAGATAAAAGGGAGAAAGAAGGGGTCTCATAGAAAGAATGAAAGGGCAAAGGGAGAAGGAGCCATCAGCCATGTATATGTTTGGACGTTTGTTTATGGTCAAAAACAGGGACCCGTCTAAAATAGTAATTGAGCATTAAAAAGGGTTGTGATCAAACTTTTGGGCTGATTATTTATGAGTATTATAAAATTGTGCGTAAAGTGATCCTGAACCGCCCACGCGGCCGCCCCTCGCATTATCACTAAAATTAATCCTAAAAAAAGGCGACTGCTGAGTGAGACATCATCGCTGCTCTTTTAATTTAAGAAATAATTAATCTCAATTTTCATTTGTTCAATAGGGATAGATACGCTTGACTTCTCTTACACCGAAAGACACCAAAAAGCCATTAAAATACTTTTAACCTACTTTTAGCCTTACGTGTGCCAATCGTTATTTTCCGCCATTAAAATATTTCTCCCCTTCCTTGGACACGTGTCCTCTTGATGCGACGCCGCAAGGAATCTATGCCTGGATGGCCAACGCGTGTCCGCCACTTCGACACGTGTGATCGGAGATTTATTATTATAAAATTTGTTTTCAACTTTTCGCTGAGGGAAGCGGGCCCACTCGGAAAATGTGTGGAGCTGATGTGGCGAGAACCAGCATTGATCTTTCTTTGTCTTTTTTTTCCCGCCTTTTGTCCTTTTTTTTTTTAAATAATAATCTTTATCGTTTCGTGCTTTAGACTACTAGCATTGGCTTGAGACACGTTTGCCTTTTTCTTTTATTCTTTTGTTTTTTTTTTAGGGCTCTGAAACCTTTTTCTTTTCTTCTAGTTATGCCACAAATCAAATCTATTTGCGTGCGGAACGGCAGCGAGCTAAGGCCTACGCCCCGGGAATCTCTGCATGTGTGGATTTTCAGTATTTATTTTTATTCGAAGCATTTAAAACAAACGAGATTCCTTTGAAAATAAAAAGAATGATTAAAATATTAAAATTTAAACATGTTATTTTTTTTTTGACCAGCCATGTTAAATTTACACATATATATTCTGCCACAAACCATGGAATCCTATCGCGTCGCCAAGCTAGTTCGGAGTCAATACTCGAAAGAAGCTTTCTTCAACTAATGACCAATAAGAACTGTAACAGGCCAACTAAAAAAAATTAATGATGACTTTTCCTTATTTAAAAAAAAAAAGGGAAAAGAGAAGAACTGTTGAAGGAGGACGCTTGGAGGAAGGGGATTGGATGGTATATAAAATTAGCGGAAATTTTTGTCTTTTTCGTCCCAGTCCATCTTCTATTATCTTGTGTTTATTTAATCAAGCCAATGTGCGAAAAAAGTGGCAACCTTGTTATCCACAGTTTGTGTTTTTTCTCCTCTACTCCATCCAAATACTTTTTATACTATTCCTGTTATCTTTAATACTCCTCCGGTCCTTATTATAGGACCCAATTTGACTTTTTATTTGGTCCTAATTATAAGACCCAATCCATTTTGTCTCTTATATTTATACATTTTTTTCCAACATAATCCTTATAATAATGATAGTTTTAGCCAATATACTTAATTAGCAAGGATATTTTAGGAATGACAACACTTATTTATTATAAATAACCAACTTAACTTATTTCCTTAATCTCCTCAAATAAGTCAATTGGGTCTTATAATTAGGACCGGAGGAGTATAAGACTAAATTTATTGTATAATTTACACTGTAAATTAAGTCTTATATATGGAACTAAAAGAGCAATATAATACCATCTCCGGTCTTAAATATAAGAGCTATTTGACTAATTTGAGTATATTGAAGAAGCAAGTTAAGTTAGTTATTTATAATAAATTATTATTATTTTTCCTAAAATATTCTTATTAATCAATTTATTGGGTAGAACTACTATTATTAAAAGGATCATCTTAAAAAAGAATAAATATGAGAGATAAAGTGGATTGAGATCTTATATTTAAAATCAAAATAAAAGTTAAACAAAATCTTATACTACTATTAAGGACCGAAGGTAGTACTATTTTCAGTCCTAATTATAAAATTTTATTTTTTTGGATCTTATAATTAAAATAAATAGAGTCTTATAATTAAGATAAAATATAATATCATTCTTAGAGTTAAATTTTCACTACAAAAAATAAATAAATAAATACTTTTGGTCTGTCTATTATCTCGAGGAGTTGGGCTTGAGAACGTCTTTCGGGTTTAACTACAACTAGAATAGTACTTCCCGTTATGAGGTTGACTTTAATTGACAATCAAATTCTCTCTATAGGACCGGAGGTAGTGCAAAATAAGCGCATCACGTGAAACCATCGTGCCACGTATATATTTTATACTACTTTCGATCTTTAATATAAGATCCTATTTAACTTTTATTTTAATCCTAAATATAAGACTTCAATCCACTTTGTCTATCATATTTATACATGTTTTTCAAAGTAGCCCTTCTAATAATAAGAGTTCTAGTCAATACATTTGATTAGCAAGGATATTTTAGGAAAGACAACACCTATTTAGGACAAATGACTAACTCAACTTACTTCTTTAATCTTCTCAAATTAATCAACTGGCTCTTATAATTAGGATCGAATAGTACTATGCAAAAATCCATGTGTAGTCAACAAAACTCAGATGTAATTAATAAAGATTTATGGCTTGTATGACAAACATAGATATCTAAGTCTCATTGTTAATGTGGGGATTTTTTTTTGGGTTGAACCTTTATCAGCATTATTTGAATTGTGAAGCTTACCCTGGCTTCATATTTATTACTACCTCTGATTTTAATTATAAAAACCAGTTGACTAATTTGATAAAATTAAGAAAATAAGTTAAGTTAGTTATTTGTAATAAATAGATTTTTTTCTAAAATATCCTTACTAATTAAGTTTATTGACTAAAACTATTATTATTAAATGAACTACTTTAAAAAAAAAGTATAAATATGAGAAACAGAGTGAATTGAGACCTTATAATTAAGACTAGAATAAAAGTCAAACGAAATCTTATATTAAAGATCAAAGACAGTATTATAATATTATATAATATCTTGTCACTCAAAATATTTGTTATGCATAAAAAAAATGTCTAATATTTCCGCTCCAGGAGAAATTTGAGCCCTGTCATGTGCATAAGAATGACTTGAATGAGTTCGAATTTAAGGGGGTGTTTGGATAGAGACCAAACCATGATTTCAGAAGTGCTTTTACAGTTTACGAAGTAAATATGTAGAGGAATTTGCCTCATTTTGCGAAAAAATGCTTCTGAAACTACAGTTTGGAGGTTGTCAAACACCTTTTAAGTATAAGTACTCAACCACACATTTATAAATCTGTGAATCCGAGGATCAGATGGAGATGAATATAATATAATATGCATATCCAGCGTGTTTAATCAAAACAAAATCAATTTTAATATTATAAATTAATGAAACCAACTTCATTGTAGATCTATGTTGTAACGTAATTTAATGTTTTTCAAAAGCATTTTTCCTTACACAATCCATCTATTTAGATTAACACCCGTAAACAAATGGCAAGTTTTATGAGGGCAATCCATTTTATTTGTACAGAGTACATTGACAATTAGTTTCTGGGCTGAAAAAAATAGATACGGCCTCTAATAAAAACATATCACCTCTCACCTCTGATCCTAATTATAAGATCTCGTTTATAGATTATAAATAAGGTCTTGATAATTAAGATTAAAGGTAATACTTGTATTAGGAAAAAGAAAAAAGAGATATACATGAACACGAAAAGCGTCAAGTACAATGTTGTTCCTCAGATAACCACCTGTGTGCCTCATCCACGCCACCATCATCGCTTCCTCAGCTTCTACCTATCGCCACCATCCTTACTTATAAGATTATTAGTAGAGGTCCCGTGTATTACTCCCTGTCGTTGTTATAACTTAAAACCAACTTTACATAATTAATAAATTTAGTTAAAATTGGTTATTTCTGGTAAAATATTAAAATTACTCATTGCTTACAAGAATTTAATTAACCAGTATAATCACATGAATGAAAAATCCATACTCTAAAATCTACACAAAACATATCACATTATGAAAAATGCTGGAGGTACTTATAATGAGGACTGGGGAATATATAAAGTCTCAAAAAAATATTAATCTGTACGGCTCCTAATTCAGTTCATCATAAGCCGGATTTTTTTTTCATTTTTTTTATTATTCGGCCATCAACAGTTTGGGGTCCGACATTTTTTTTGCTGCTGGATTCTTTGAAAAAATAATGCTTTTTTCGTAATTAAACTCGCTTTTTCTAGATTCTTCTACTATACGAAGCTTTTAAAGTACCCGGCTTTTGCACTTTACTAATAAAAAAAAGCATCTAAATTAAGGGTTAATATTTCAATAATAAATAAAATGGCCTCAGATTAAGCCATTTCTTCCCAACTGCGAACCAAACTGTTTTCCTCGGTTTTTTTTTTTAATGCAAATATCATTTTAAAAGACAAAATAAAGTATTAAAAGTTGCGAAGCAGCCTTTTCTTTTCTTTATTAGTTTTTCTTTTTTGTAAATTTTCTGACGGGTTATGAAAACTAGAAAAGTCGTGCATTTACCATAACAGTCTCCGCTCGGACGATATCGTCCAATCAGGAGGCTCCACATAGTGAGCCGTCGCGACAATTTCGGGAACCCAGTGGCATGAAAAGCTGTCGACTTGGGTGCACGGAAGTAGCGTGCTACCGAGAATCAAACAATTGAAAAGAAAATCTATGAAGGCCACAAAAACTTGTGGCCAAGAATCGAAACCCGAGGCTGACGTGGCACCCACCTCTGGTTTAAACGGATCAAAATCCAATTCGACGTACCTCCATTGCCAACTGAGACCCCAAGCCCCTCTCAGACTTCGAAGCCACAGCACCCGCCACCAAACTACAACGAAATACGGTTACTGTGTCACTTGTAACGAACCTGGAACCATCTCCCGCGTTTTCTTGTCTGTTTTTGTTCCCAGAAAATGCAGGAATCTAGAGACCCTGCAATTAAACTCTTCGGCCAGAAGATTCCTGTGCCCGGTGAGGGCGAGCTTCCTGCTGTTACCGTCGAGGATGCCGAACAATCTGAATCGCCGAGGTCCATGGAGGTGGACACACAAGAAGGAGGAGACGGTGAGGATGGAGAACAGCAGAATTCTGAGGAGGAGAAGGACGAAGATGACGAGGTACAGTTGGTACTTGGTACTGTGTGGTAGAAAATGATTTATGAGACAGGAGGGAAGTCCTTTTTTTGTGATATATAGAAAATTGAGGACAACCCGTTCGTTGATATTTGCTAAAACAATTCTTGGGTCCGCTTTTTGCCCTTTCAATTCTCATTTTCTTGGATAGGGTAAGCTCTTTGTACTGAAATTTCTCCCAATTTTCTGGTTCTGAATTTTTTTTCCTTTTTAGTTTTGATTCTCGATTCAAATGATTTTTCAGTTTTTTAACAGAAATCACAAAGAGCATATTAATGCTTGTTTTTCAATTCTACAAGCGTCAGAACTAAAGAAACAGAGTATTGGGAGAAGTGGTAGATTCCAATTTATGCATTTCCGCTTCTGAAAATGAGAATAAACAAAAGTATTTCTGATCTGCTTGGGGAGAAGTTCAAATTTCCTAAAGCGAACTTGATGGGGAAAAATTTTAGGTCTTGCTATTCAATTACTATCGTCCGTTCACGGATCGAATTTTGCTCAGATTCTACTATTACTTGTCCTGATGCTCTCTCTTCCTCATCATCTTCTCTCAAATTTTCGATTGACTAATTTGTCGTCTTCGACTACGTAAAGCAACTTCTTTAAACAATTCTCATCAATTTTGTCTCGGGCTCTGGCCTGATTTGCCTTTGCATCAGCAGATTTCATTGCTTCAAACTTCTTATTCCTATCAACTGATTGATCCTGCTTAAGATCAGTATTTCCCGTCGGTATAGTCTTACTCAAATCTTGCGGTATACTTCCTTTATATGTGCAAGTATTTGATTTTCCCTTTCAAACCTTCATTACCAATGTTACAAGCAATTTTCCCCTAGGATATTCAGTCCAATAATAGCCTATCAAAGGCTGTTCCTGGAAATTCATAATTTAACACTTTATGGCTCTCTGTTCTTGTTGTTTGCTTAATGCTAGAATATGTTTTTTAAGGTATGGATTTGCTTGCGTGATATAGCTCTGACCGTGTCGGTACAAGTCAATAACTGCACCCTCACCTACACGATATTCACAGACTAATGATTTTTTTTAAAAGAAATTAAGAAAAAGAAAGCAGAGCGAGCATTCTTAATCTTCTTTCGCCTCATTAACATATGAAAACTCAATCTTTATACGTATTTAATTTATTTCTGCGGTCTATATGTATATATATTATTAATCAGGCAAAATTATTTGTTAAATTTTTAGGATCATTCAGCTGGAAACACTACAGACAAAAAGAAAGAGGCTGATTATCCTCCAAACGTGGAAGAGACTGAGAATCCAGACTCATTGGCTGAGGCTAGTGTGAACCCGAAAACACCTTCCATAGATGAAGAGATTGCAAAATCAAAAAGTGACAGCTCAGAGAAGGAGAAAAGTGATGCAGCCAACCCTCAGGAGAAAACCCTGAAGAAGCCAGATAAAATACTTCCATGCCCTCGCTGCAACAGCATGGACACCAAATTCTGTTATTACAATAACTACAACATCAATCAGCCTCGTTATTTCTGCAAAGCCTGCCAAAGATACTGGACTGCAGGTGGTACCATGAGGAATGTACCGGTAGGGGCAGGTCGGCGAAAGAATAAGAACTCTTCTTCCCATTATCGCCACATCAGCATTTCAGAGGCTCTACAAGCAGCTAGAATTGATGCTCCAAACGGGACTCATCTTCCAGCGTTAAAGGGAAATGGCAGGGTCCTCAGTTTTGGATTAGATGCACCTATTTGTGATTCTATGGCATCTGTCCTGAATCTTGCAGAGAAAAAGGTCCTAAATGGTGTGCGAAACGGCTTTCATAGCAAAGGTGCTGAAACTGGTGGTGATGACTGCTCAAGTGCATCTTCCATTACAGTTTCAAATTCTATGGAAGAGAGTGGCAAAAGTGTTTCACAAGAATCATTGCTCAGAACTAATGGTTTTTCTCCTCCAATCCCATGTCTCCCTGGGGTTCCCTGGCCTTATCCTTGGAATACTCCAGTTCCTTCACCTCCTATATGCCCTCCAGGATTTCCCTTGTCATTCTATCCTGCAGCCTTTTGGAACTGTGGTGTGCCCGGAAATTGGAATGTACCCTGGTTTCCCCCACATCCCTCTGCGCAAAACCCAATATCTCCTTCCACTACCAGTAGTCCTAGTTCTCCAACACTAGGGAAGCATTCGAGGGACGGTGATGTGATCAGAGCAGACAACTCACCGAAAGAAGAACCATCAAAACCGAGAAATGGGTGTGTTTTGGTTCCTAAAACCTTGAGAATTGATGATCCAAGTGAAGCTGCAAAGAGTTCCATATGGGCAACTCTAGGAATCAAGAATGAATCAGCCAGTGGAGGAGGTATGTTTAAGGCCTTCCAATCAAAGAAGGATAAGAAGGATCATGTCGTTGAAACTTCACCGGTGTTGCGGGCTAACCCTGCAGCCTTATCTAGATCCCTCAACTTTCATGAGAACTCCTGAATTAGCTTCTCTAGTGAACTAGAAGAGATGATGAGCATCTGCGAGTAATGGCCATTTGATTATCCTCACTGGCCATGGGGAGAAGAGCACGGTGATAGTCTTTGATGCCCTTAGCATAATTGGAGCTAATCCTGAGGAGTTTTTTGTGGAAAGGGGGGAACTAAATTTTTGTCTTTTCACATGACACTTTGAACAGGTGGCTTTTTTAATGTACTTTAGTTTGGTGAGCTTGAGTTCATGTACATATATAAATATATGTGTAAAAACACTTTCTAGAGATGCAAAAATATCTTTACTATGCATAAAAATCCTGAGGTACTGTTTTTTCTTATGGAACAGGAAATTTGGTGTTTCTTTTCTTGTACAAGTGTTGTTTCTTTCAAAAGATGAAAATCACTTTTCTTGGAATAGATTTCTCCTCTCTTCCACCTCAACTGCAGAAACAGTATCTGCTTTTTGTAAAGATGAGATCAAAAGTCCAGCTTGAGAAATATAACCACACAAAAATAGCAAGTGAAAGCAGTGGATAGTGGATACTTATGTCATATGTGACGTCTAAATTGCTGTAATGTCGGAAAAAACCTTCTACTTAAGACTTAATGAGCCGATGGACGTAGGCAAATGCAGATATTCAAATACATGTATATAAGTTTACTGAATTACATATTAGCATTGAATTTGTTTATCATCAGAAGTAAATTTGGGATAAAGAAAGCACCAGAGATCTGCTTTCTCATGATATGTGCTTAAAGTCATTCCTACAGTTGGCACACTGGTAGAATCACACTGGTAGAATAAGAGAGAAGGAAGAATATAGTGGGGCCAAAGTGGAGAATTAACATGGCAGAGAGAATTGATGTTTCAGATCATCCTTTAGCACTTGAGAGGATGGACTTGCATCTATTAAAAAGGCCAAGTAGCTTTCCTTTTCTGATCCGTGGGATCAAAACAAGTTGCAGAAAAGCTGGACCACTAGAAAAATTCTCCTTGATATTTTCCCCTCTTTTTTTGTAAAATCACATGAGAACTCAATAAAAGGGCAAAAAAACAAGAAAGAAAAGCATGCATCTCTCGAACTTTCCAGCATTAAATTACCCCTCAAATTGGGTATCTATCTTCCTCACCTATGCCAACAGATTTATGCTTGTCCACAATTGACACATGATTATTCAATTTATTTCTATTTAATTTTTTCCAAAAAAAAAGCACATGGTATGAACTATGAAAGATACTGCAACTCAAATGATGGGTGAATAAGAAATAAGGTTACACTCAAATGAGAAAGAGGGAAGACTTTTTAATTGCTGATTAAGGAAAATCTTTTGTTTGATTAATGGTTTCTATGGATTTAGTGCTAGAATGAATCTCCTTATTTTGAAAGAAATTTGCTTAAGAAAGGTAAAAAGTTACTCTTTCTACTTAACTCTCCCATGCATCAATTTCCAATTACCATTCAATTCCATATGCATGAGCATTCCATCACTTCCATACCTGAGCTTTATTTGCTTCAAGATAACAATTGCTCATCACATATTGACTAATAGTCTCTCTTTCAACAATCACGTACCCTCTTAGGAATCAGACGCAAGGCTCTGTCCCTTCAATTCATGGATTAAACACTTAAATGTTGTTAGAATAAAATTATAACTACTCGTCAAATTGTAATTTTTGTCTAATTAATCATGGCCTGTCTAAAGATTGAATTTGTACTGCAACTCAATCTCAAGCCTGAGCGAAGCAATTACTGTCATAACCATCAATTCTGTTGATTGGTAATAAATTTTTTTTTGACCAGCTGATTGGTAATAAATTGGAATATCTGAAAAGGGCCTGAAGAAATGAATGAAATATAACCTTTTCATGGAGGTCTTTGGAGGATCCTTGGAAAAAAATCAGCTCAACATGTGTACTTGATGAACCAACCAGAAGAAAACACTTAAGATATTTGATTGCTTCAATCTAATACAGGCCACATGTGATGAGTTTGTGGGTGGGACCCAAACGCTCGAAAATGACACCAACCCTCTTGGCACTCTCTATTGCTTTTGCTATCTTTTCCTTTTTGCCTGCCCTTTCTCTCCTTTTTTTTTTTCACAGGACAGAAACTGTTCATCTCTTTTCCTCCGTATGCCTATCCCCAAAAATTTCAATTATTAAACCCTAAAAAAGACAGTTGGAAGCAAGCATCATCATCATAAATTCCTAGCCATTACTGCCTTCCCTTCATATCTACCCTCCTCCATTGCACTCAACTGTACCCACATGTTTAGGATATATCCCTCCAATTTTCATTTTCCATTTTGTGCAGAGTCTCTCATGAAAATGACTCATAATTGTCTTTTGGTTGATTTTTATTCCATTGATTGTATCCCCAATTCCCAAATTTTATCTGTTTGCCTCTCAACAACCCCACACATTCATCTCTTTATATGTATTCGGTTGGTAATAAAAATTGCAGAGGCATATATAAATATTCTAGATATCTAAGAACTTCGCCTCTGATATATTTATATGCTTACAAGTAAATAATTTTAAGATAATTCTTTTATGCAACCACCTGTGATTAAGTAATTTGATCATCATGTGTCATCCAATAAGTACGTATGTTATATGATAATATTACAATTATAAGCATTTCATTAATCGAAAGAGAAAATTGAAAAGAAATATTGTGAATGCCTATATTTTAAAATCACAGATTCTGTTGAAAAATATGTACAACCAGAGAGTTGTGAACATTTACCGTCCAAACAGAGGTTAGTGACAGTGCCTATTACCTAACTTGCATGACCAGAAAGTTGAGTTTAGTTTACTAATAATGGGTTTTCACCAGGTGAACACGCCAGGCCGATGATGATGAGTTTCTGTTGAAAAAGAAGTAAAAAAGAAAAAAAGAAGAGGAAAAAGGAGAAGAAGATAATAATAAAGCGAAGTCTTAATCTGATGGAGTTGGATCATGACAAATTATAGCACAGTTGCTTACCATGTCAAAAGTGCTTCTTTCTTTTGGCCACCCATTTTGCAGAATGCCTAATTGCAATTGGTCCCACCATTTCTTCCATTGCTTTCAACTACTTAATGCTCTTTTGATTATAATTTGATAGAAGCAGTTGTTGGTCAGCCATTTTCAGCACACTTTTTCGTAATTTTGTATCATACTGTTAACACCAAACCATGGTCGCTTAAGCAGGACGTGGTGTCATGAAGCACGGCTACTTCAAAAGTTGACTCAATTAAGAAAAGCGATTCTGCAGTTATTTCAGCTCTTAATCGTTTTTAATCGTGTTCCTAGTCAATTCTATTGTCAACTTTAGTGGACGTGGAGTCAACTTCCCACTAACTCTCCAACTTAATCTTCTTTTTACCTTATGTTGGAGATGAGATGACAAGATGATGAACCACATTCTTATTCTTGATATCATAATTTTATCTATAATCCTAAATATAAGAGCTAAATAACTAATTTGTAGGGATCAAGAAAATTAATTAAGTTAATTATTTATAAAATGTGTATTAGTTTTTCTAAAATATTCATTCTAATCACTTGTGTTGGAAATTACTTTTTTGGTAAAAAACTCTCTTAATATGTATAATTAAGAGGGATATTTTAAGAGAAAAATAAAATTTGGATGATAAAGTAGATCAAGAACTCACATTTAAAACCAAAACAGATTCTCCTATTAACTCTTATATTTAGAACTAAAAGGGGTGTATTGGAATTTTGAATTTTATGGACAACTATATACAAGTGACTTAGACTCACCATATTGAGTTTATGACACTTTTTGACATTTACACTTCAAAGTTATTCACTGGAGAACCTTTTTTCTTTACTACTGACGTTTTTTTGCAGACAATTTTTACTCCAATACATTAGATTATTTGATGGTCAATATGCAATAGATTTATGGAGTGGACTATTTACCACTATCGTATTATTGTTTTTTTTTTCAGCAAAATCTAGCACTACCGTATCATTGTTATTATTTTTAAAGTGTGAGGTGGAAGGCCATGAGTGCGATCGGGTTGAACTTGAGAGGAAGTAATGAAGTCAAAGAGGTTACTTGATGAGAAAGTTAATAAAGTCAAACGTATAGTGATTGATTTTGAATTGACATGGGGAGGAAGGGAGAGCACTAGCACTAAAAATGGAGGTGCGTCTTAAAAAAATGAAGGCAAAAAAGGGAACAAAACAGTGTTGGAAAGGCGCATAGTTGAAACTTGAAAGAGCGCATGTGAGGCATTGCTTTTGAGATTTAAAAGAAAAGCAACACAAATTGAATGGAAGGTAACCCCCCACCCCCTCCTCTATACTTTCACTAATCATTCATGGGACTAGGGATTGTGTGGGTCTTATGAAACCAGACAAAAACATAAATAGAAGATTCAGATTGATGCTAAAAGGCAGAGGACGTTGATGAACCGTTGGGCAAAAAGAGAGAGATGGGATTCCCAAATCTGTGATGGTAAGAGTAAGATATTCAAGTGCAAATCAAATACCTTTTTAATGGAGACAGTAATTCAACCATGCAAAAGCCATGCGTCAAAAGAAGATTGTCCATTCCGTTGCTTGCTAGGGCCACATAAATCCGTCAGCGAAGAAGATCCAGAAATAAGTTAACCTACGTTCATCTATTGATGAATAACAATCAGAAATTATGTTGAGAATTAATAAATTTGAATCTCCAAATTATGAAGGACTTTATATTTTAACACTCCTATTATTTTTACCTACACTAACGTAAACGTGCCCGAATCTCTCGATTATTATTTTTTTTTTGGCCTGAAAGTCTCTAGACTAATGACCTATCAAAAAATTGGTCCTAGCTAATAATAATCATCATAATCATCATAATATTGATAATTTTCCTATTGATATCGAAAAGGGAAAAAAAATCAAATATATCTTCGTACTTGTTTGCCAAGCAACATATTCTTGTACTTGAAGTATAGAGAGACCTCAGCCACTCTTCCAGCATGATACATTGAGGTTTCATACCAATTTTAGTATTCAAGAATTTGGTTAAATTGGGCTTCATGAATTCTTCTGATAAAAAAAATGTCTACAATTTCTCCATTAAGCGAGAGCGCATAAATGCAGCCACTCTTTCAACATATGAATCGTTTGGCAGACGACAGAGCCATCAAATTCTTCGCAGTTGCGTCTGCTCGAAGACGAAGCCTCAAGTTTTGAGAGGAGAAATTAGCCACAAGGTCATCATTTAACCCTATCTAGAAATCAAACATAGAGGAATATATGACTAGGATTGTTCATTGGATTCTACAGCCTCCGGAATCTGGCTCACGGTGCACGTTGCCATAAGCGGACAGTTCAAGAAGATCCATATCACGACCTGTATCGCATTTAGGTCAACGACGAAGTTCCAATTGCTACCGTATCAAGCTAATTTCATAGTGAAAGCCGAACAAGAGCTTTAGAAAGGTCATAAATACCTGATACCCTGCAATAAGAACTCTTCTGGATAAGCTCAGCTTTGCTCATCTCTGTTCGATTTCCCTTTGATCGATTAACTGTTGCCTGTAGAAATATGGAAGAGAGTCTTGCAGATGAAAATTATTTAAAGCAACTCAATAAGAAACGAACTAAATTATTGCGATTTCTGCATGAAAAATAAAAATTAGAGCCTATCTCATCAGTTATCCACCTGCATTCACACGATACTGAAAGAGGGAAGCGAAGAACCCGAAAGGAAAAAGGACATAACTTAGTTATAACTTTTATTTGTTTACTATCAGGTATTCTGGTAAACATACAACACATTAATATATTTTACAGTTCAGCATCACATGATTATTGTGCAGGGCCTGGAAGCTGAACCAAAGAGGAACGTACAATTACAATTATTAGGCCCAGAGACTCCACATAAACACACACAAATATACCAGGGTATCAGCATGGAATCCTTTGATATGCATTGCATTAAACCTTCCGATTAATAATATTCCGCATGTCTGCTGTTAACAATGCTTAATGGATGATAATTCCAATATTTTAAATATACAGGAACCTTGGAAGTTATCAACATAATGCATAATCAATATTAAATTTTATTGATCTGGTTACGGACGTTACAGTGTATTGCAAGTCATTGTAGGAGCACACCGATCCCCTCTCTCTCCTCAAGATGGAAACAGAGAAGAAACAAACCATACCTGTAAGACTTGGCAATTTTCCAGTGTGCTTTTCCCTCCCTATAATTTGAAAGCATCCAAATGAATCCGTGTGGAAATGGGAAAAACAAAATCAAATCTGTCAAAAAATTGATTAACTTCCTAACACGACTGCTTTCTAACATGAAGAGACAAATCTTCATCATGAATCATGGCTTCAGCAAGGCATTAATGTTAAAACAACCAAAGAAGGCAACAATAACTGGCATTAATGTTAAAACAACCAAAGAAGGCAACAATAACTGCAATTGAAGTTCTCAATTTACGCAGGGAATTGAGCTTATATCTTTCTCTTTATTTGGGTATTTTAAATTATCTCAAGAATCTGTTCTTCCCAAGACTGGTAAAGTTTGCTGCTTCAAAGATGCCACCTTTATGCTTTATGCGCAATCTAACACTGGAAAATGTAAAGGGGGAATGGAAGGACTTCATGAAGCCTTGGTTTCTTGAAAAGACGTCCTAGCAGTGTCTCGAATAGTTCATAACTGGAGATCATAGATGAGGTCGGTTCTAGATGCTAAGAAATAGTTTATGATTATATTATTCCCTCTCAGGAAAACTTTAGTTTATGCTTCCTTTTTGTATTGTATTCATTTCTGCGTTAATTATCAGTTTAAGCAGAGGAAAACTCAAAACCTTTGAAAAAGAAATTGCAAAGTAAAAGCCGTTTGAAAGAATTTTATCCCTGAATGCTGTACATGGCTCTTCATGCAGAGAGAGAGAGAGAGAGACATGCAAATTCAGTATAGCACATAGCTGAAAGCTTTAAATTACTGATCAAATGCGAATTAATACTATATATATTTAGCAGTTAAAAGAACCTTGCAATGGCAGAATTCCATTCATATTGTAGCTAGATCTAAGCTGCACTTTTCACCGTTCTGTGAACAGTGCAATTTCCAATAGGTTTTATATACAATGATTTTGCAACAAGTTTGTGGAATATGTAAAATTTATCTCCTGCAAACAGCACAACAGTCAAATTTTAAGCATCAAGAAAAAGCAAAGTGCTGGAAAGTAGTAAACTTTGGTAACATTCCTGTCTGTAGTCCATGGACCACGGAATTCCCCCTCCGCTGCCCCAATTAGTAAACTTTGATAACATCCTTTTATTAAGAATAACTTGATAGTTGTAGTATTTGGTTTGTGACAACACAAAAGTGGGCAGTGAGTCAATTCCTTTCGGAATATCTTTTAACTGCCATGTTCATTGGCTCATACCAACCTGGAAATAGGCATGTGTTATAGGAGCGCTGAACTCTGACTGCAGCATATTAAATCACTAACGTGAGAAGACAATGAAGTTATTCTGTGACACAGGGAAGTCTTCTAACCAAACTTTAAATGTTTATGAGGCTTTATCCTAAGAATGGCGACCCTATATCATTACCTTACATTCATCTTCTCATGCATAATTTTCACTTTCATCCTTTTATTAAGAAATTCACCATGACTCTGTTACTTTCATTAACGAGTTATAAGTTGTCCTACTGTTCATATAATAAACCGTTCTAAGTGCTCAAAAAGTTGAAAACCAATTCTTTGCGCAGGGGGGAAAAAAAGGCGCTCTCAAGCCGCCCAACAACTTGCTACTGTGTCACAATACTTTTCTGTGCAGAGAAGGACATCAGATAAGTATCCATCTTCCACAGTGTCTAACATAGTCTGGACAAGGCAATCCCCTCTTAAGGGAACGTCAGCCAGAATTTTAAGGAAAGTTTTAAGCAATCAAGAGACACAATTAGCTATTGCCATAGCTACGGTTTGTATGGCCACTACATCCATTGAAGAGTGACTTCAGATACAGCATCTCGTTGACACAGCTTTAAAGGCAATCTCTTAAAAGTGACATTGATAAGCATGAAGCAGAATATTCGTGCAAGATAACAGAGAATCCCCCTCGGTGTAGAAGTAACCATAGCCTCACAACCAATTCAAAAAAAACTAAAGTACCTTAGAATAAGGGACAATATGATCGTAATCGTGACAGAGACAGCCGGGGCAACCTACAAGCTTGCGAAAGACCATGTTGCCAAGGGCGTCCCTGCGCCAACGGTCGGGGTCTCGTCCTCTGATCTTCTCGGCCTTGTCCCAACATTGCTGTTTGACACTGTAAGGGAAGCTCCGAGGGTTAGGGTTAGAATTAGCGTAGTAGTCTTGAGATTGTTGATCTTCGAAGAGAGAGGTGGAGTCAGTAACGGTAACGAGGTCACTGGCGACAAGAGTTGCAGTAGATCGGCCACTCGCCGCTGCCGCCGGCGATGAGGGGCGGCTTCTTCTCTTGGGCTCTCTGTTCTTAGAAGAAGGTGAAGAAGGCCTCATTGCGTTTTCTTCTCTGGTAAATTCGCCACCGTAGCATCAGTGAGGGTCGGATAAGCACACAGTACACGGAACCACCGGAAGGCAATCCATGATGTATCCACAAAATATTAAGAAAAATAACCACAAAATATCATATGAAAATCAAAATAATAAAATAGGTATTCGAATAAGTAAAATAGACATGAGGTATCAATTTAAAATTTTTACTTTTGACATAAAGACTGAAATACCCATTTGAGTGAGAGAAAAAGAAGTTGAAAATGAAAAAAAAGTAAATAAAGGAAGACATTGATGAAACACGTGAAAAAAAAAAAAAAGGAATGTTGGAGGTAAGTTTAAGTTGATAGTTTTTGAAAATGCTATTATCTTACTCCTCCGTATCACCATTCTGTAAACATTGTTGATTTAACGGGTTTTGATCGCAAGAAAGAGGGTTTGTAGTAAGAAAGAGAGTGAACCTATGACATTACGTAAGTAAGTAGAAGTTGATAGTGGGGTTTGTGTTGTTCATTTTTGTCTTTGCCTCATGATGAAATGGGGACATGATTGTTAGGTTTGAGGGTTTATATTTAGTATTTGGTGAATGATGTAGTAGAAATTAGAAAATAGTGACAAGCAATTATGTAATGTAACTGCTATTGTATACCTACTGGTTTTTGGTAAATACTACTACGTGAATGGTACATTTCATTATACATGTAGTTAGCTATGAAAGTTAATGGTTCAATGTTTACTATGATATATTTCAGGTGCACATCCACTAAATGGTTTATTTACGCTTATAAGTTGCTCTCACTTGAACACAGGTTGCAAAACCCATTAAAGAAGTAGTCATTTTCACTATGAAAGTTGTAAATCCCACTATGTGTTTTGTAAAATTCAGTATGGAATTTTATTGGTTCTTAGAAAGAAGTTGCCTATTCCCCGAAAACAGGTTGCAAAACCCATTGAAAAAATAGTCATTTTCACTACGAAAGTTGTAAATCTCACTGTGTTTTGTAAAATTCACCGTGGAATTTTATTGGTTTTTAGAAATAAGTTGCCTATCTCCTAAAAATAGGCTGCAAAACCCGTTAAAGAAGTGATTATTTTCACGATGAAAGTTGTAAATCCCACGATGTGTTTTGTAAAATTCAGCATGGAATTTTATTAGTTGTTAGAAACAAGTTGCTCATCCCTTAAAAACAGGTTGCAGAACCCATTAAAGAAGTGTTCATTTTTACTGCGAAAGTTGTAGATCTCACTATGTGTTCTGTAAAATTCAGTGTGGAATTTTATTAGTTTTTAGAAACAAGTTGCCCATCTCTTAAAAACAAGTTGTAAAACCCATTAACAAAGTGGTCACTTTCACTATAAAAGTTGTAAATCCCAGTATGTATTTTGTAAAATTCAGAGCAAATGGTTTAATAATACTAGGAAATCAGGCAGCTTCATATTTTCTGAAAATAGTTTTATGCAAAGAACAGAGACGAAACCAAAAAGAAAAATGCTAGACAATAACATTTTAAGTTTTGAGGACTCATTGAAAATATTTTATGAAGAACAATATTCAAGCTTCCTACCTGTTTATCACAATTGGCATTACTTTAGCGACCTACTCAACGGCGACAATCTCAGGGAGTATGAGTTATTCTAGACAAGGCAATATACTTCAGAAACAATCAAGGTATTTCAGTTTTTACACCAAAAGTGCAAATTCCAAATTAGTACCTCATGCCAATTTGATCATTTTACTTATTTAGATGCCTGTTTTGTCTTTTTTATTTTCATATGGTATTTTGTGGTCATTTTCCGAAACATCAATATATCTGTCACTTTTTCATATATATTCAACATACTTGAAAATGGTTGAAAAAGAAAAAAATTTAATAATTGATGAAAAAGCTCGAAATATATCCCTCATAAGTAATGCTACTCCTGTCCTTAATTTGAAAAGTAATCAGATGTTCAATTTGATTATAACTTCTCACCAAAAAAAAAAAAGATTATAACTATTTACATACGATTAATAAAATATTTACTTACAATATACAGGAAAGACAATATTTAGGCTTTCAATCTACTTACATACAATTAATAAAAATATATATGAAAGACAATATTTATAGACTACACATAATTAATCTGACTAAGTTTTTTAATATTAAAAATTAGTTATCTAAATTTTATATTAAAAAAATGAGGTAATAATACCTTCATATATTATAAAAATGAATTTATAGAAATGAATGTTAATATAATATGTGGTGAGTAAAATGGTTTTTTATATAAACAAGTCTCTGAGCATGTGTGCAAAAACAATGTCAAGCTTTGATAATATGATATGTATAACAGACAAAAAAAATTGTATGTACATAATATAATGTAATTAAGATGATTTCATGCGGCATCTAAAGCTTGATTAAGTAACTACACGCATTATACAAAACTTAAAAAAACAATCGGACTCTGTTATTTATAATATATGAAAAATTGGAGATATATCGCAGTAAGGCCCTAAGTAAAAATAAAATAAAATAAAATAAAATAAAGAAATGGAAGGAGAAGGGAACATATGATAAAATGTAGAAGTTGTTTGGCGGAGGCGAAGGGTGTTCTGTAATGCGATGGAACGAGGAACGTGGCAAACAGAAGCTGCATGAAACATGAAACAGAGAAGAGGCTTTCTTGGTAGAGAAACTGCTTGCAAAAGCTGCCAACAATTCGTCTCTCACAATCTCACCGTCCATTTCAAACGCCCCATTCCCTATATCACAATCAAGTTTTCGCCTTGGCTGGTTCCCCAAGATCTATCCACCGAAATCCCAGCTACGCCCATCGTCCCATCCTTCTTCCCTCCTATCCTTCTCTCTGTACTCTACGTCTTCCGACCTCCCTCTCCGCCTCTCTTCTTCTATCCCTCCCTCCCTTTTCCATTCCCCGTTTAAATTCTTTCTCTTTCATCCATTTCTCCAGCTACCTCGTCTTCTAGCTCTGCTTTCGGTGCCGTTTTCTTTGAGGTGTTTGGCATTTTCATTTGGCGGTGCTAACTGGGTGACATTGGAAAGATCTATATATCGTCTTCAGAGTCTCTATAAGGTTCATTTTCTTCTAGTGGGTGTCTTGTGATTTCGATTTCCTTTTCTTTTGTTTCCGATCGTTATTCATCGTTGTCGTTGGTTTTAGTTCCTTCGTTTTCTAAGGTTCATCACCACGTAATAGGTGGTACTCTGCTCTTTGTAGCAGCGGAGAAACTTGAATTATATGTTTTAGTAATAAAATTTTGCAGTTTTGAAGACTTGGAATAGAATTTTTCGGTTTATCTTGCATTGCTTCAATCTAGCAGGCGCGTAGTTGTATTAATAATTTAAGCGGGTAGATGTACTGTTTCAAAAGTGTTCTGGCTATTTTTGTGCTCCTTTAGTCCTGTTTCTCTTTATTATTGGTGGACATTGGGATTATATGCATGGTGTACTTGACACGTTCAAACTGGATTTGCAGGATGGGAAGAGTTAAACTAAAGATAAAGAAATTGGAGAGCCTTAGCAATCGACAAGTGACTTTCTCAAAACGAAAGAGTGGAATATTGAAGAAAGCCAAGGAATTATCAATATTGTGTGATATAGAGATTGCCCTTCTCATGTTTTCTCCGACAGGGAAGCCTATATTACTACAAGGAGAGCGCAGGTAATATCAATGACAGAGTCATTCTTTCCTATTAGGTCGGAAACCTTTGCCAGCAAGTTGAAAATTTATACCAAAGAGGAACTACAGCGCCAGAGACCCTTTAATGATTTGTAGGCTAGGCAATAGCTGACACATCATTATGATCAACTTCAAGGGTTTCTAATGCTAATATATGTTTTAGATTTTTTTTTTTAATGTTCCAAGAAACATTCACAGTATTTTCCGTGAGGCAAAACTACCTAAAAAGATGAGATAGTGCTCTCAAGCATCTTTCATGCCATATGCCTTCAATTGTAGGTCTGTTTTATTTTAGGAACTGGGAAGTCTACCATGCTCACGAGCAGCAAGTTGTGGAACATGATTAAAAGTAATCCTATTAAATATTAACAAGTGGCAAAAAATTGTATATATTAAATCACGCAGCTTTGATTCAGACTGACGACTGTTACTGCATTTTCTTTTATGGGAAGAATCTCATTTTTAATCTTTGGGGAATCAAGGGCATGGAAGTATACTTTGTTTCAATTATAGCAATTCATTCATCTTGAAACATCATGGTTGTCCCAGCCGTGATTGGAATTCTTCCTCTCAAGCTTAGTCGAGTTGAATCCAGATGTTACTTGTATTGTTAAAGCCACGGCTGTAGTTACTTGTAGGCTCAATGCTCATAACCATCTTGTTCATTATTTTCAGCAATCTCGAGCAGGTCATTCAAAAATTTGCTCAACAAAGCCCGCAAGAAAGGGCCAAAAGGTTTGTCAAAATTGATGATGAAATTTGTTTTTCCCTCTCTGTTGACGATAAAAGAGCTAATTGTTTTACTATTTGAACAGGAAATTGGAAAGCCTCGAAGTACGATCACTCTGCCCTTCTCATATTCGCCCTTTACATAGAACTGCTTTTGTTAAAGGAAATATTCAATGTTTCCTCCCTGAATTAGAGGTGACGCCTAAATTTTGTATCTGTTTAAATTACAGGCACTGAAGAAAACCTTCAAGAAGTTGGATCATGATGTAAAAATACAAGATTTCTTGGGTTCAAGGTAAGTGAATGTGATGGGCAAATTTGGCAGTTTTTTCCTTTATAAGATCTTACAAAGGTCTCAGTTTGCTCCCTTTGTTCTTGCAGCAGTCAACAAGTCGAGGTACAGTTTGTTTATGGACATCATCGTGTTCATTTTTACTTGAGAATCTTAAGTTGCTTGTTATGCAACAAAATATTCCAAGCTGAATTGCCATGTGCAGGAATTGACCCATCACGTGAGAATACTACAAACTCAGCTTGCTGAAGCCCACCAGAGACTGAGGTGCAACTCTGGAGTTTTTAGTTGTGAAAGTATTGCTTTTTCTTTTTGTTCTTGTGATTCATGTTGTTACCGTTAGACCAATATTCAATAAAGGCCTTTGTTGCTTTACAGTTTATCTTTCTCATAAAACTATACTATTTGTTCATTCAATCGTGGCCTATCAGGTTCAACGCATGCTTCAAAGGCTTTAACTATATGATATGTAAAACAGTTGAGTAAATATTTTATGCTCTACGATGACATTAATTTGTACCTTTTATTTGCATATTTGAATTTGGAAACCATGATGTTATCAATATTTGTTGCATATAATATTATATGAGACATTTCCAAGGCAAATAAACCATGGAAGGATAGAATTTAATGTTATTTTTGAAATATCTTATAATTGGCGTTAGTCATAGGAATCATGGCTTTGGAATAGGTTATTTGACAGTTAATCCTTTTATTTATGAAGTGAGATGTTAAAGATAAAGAGAAATATCATACAAATAAAAAACAACTGAAAAAAAGAGATCTTAAATCCCTCCCATAGTTTGGCCAAAAATAAAAAATAAAAAATCCCCCCCATAGGTTGTTCTCTTTCGAGATCTCAAGAAAGAAGCGTGGAAGTAGAGCTTCTGTCTGGACGTCCTTTTCCTTGATTTAGTTGCATCCAATTCAGACTAATTATATGGCTTTTGATTTTGTTCAAATAATTTACGTGTTCCTGCGGCTTGTTCTCTTTCTCAGTCACGTATGCTTTGTCTGTGATGAATCTCCAAGTGGCCATCATGGAGTAATCTTGTGTTATATTTTTGTATTTTTCAGCTATTGGAATAATGTAGAAAAGATCAATAATGTTGAACATCTTAGGCAAATGGAAGACTCACTAAAGGAGTCAATCAACCGAGTACGCCTACATAAGGTATGATTTTGTTTCATGTTGGCTAACCATATCATTCTGTCCCATAACATCAAGTGCCTCATTGACAATTGTTTTCACTGGCAGGAAAATTTGGGAAAACACCAACTAATGTCACTTGAATGCGCTAACCAGGTAGCACATGCTGTCCTCTTTCTTATTCAGTATATCTCTTCCTTTTGTTCAAGATAAATGTTATCTGATATGGTTCTACTTTGTAGTTGCAGGAAGGGATAACTTTACCCGTGATAATGGCTGGCTTGCAAGAAGCTCAACCTCTGTCTTGGCTAATGAATAATGACATTAATCAATTGATTTTACCCAGCGAACCAAAATTTCTGCCATTTAGGTCAGTTCACTGCTATTATGCAACTTTCATTTTCAGTTCTGCAGAAATTTGAAGTACATCGTTTCCTTGAAAACTCTCTTTGACGTGTTTCATTTTGTGATCCAATTTTTTTATTTGATTGTACAACACACAGTGATAATCCCAATAGAGATGCTGAGTGCTCCATTAACGTTTCACTACCAGGCTATTCTGGTTATATAAGCACCGCCAAACTTGAGGTTGGCAACTCACCTCAGGTTGCTACTTTGGGTCAGGGTGGTGGTACCTTGAATGAGTTTAATGAAGGTTCCTGCTTAAGTGCACAACATTGCGAGCAGTTTTCATACCCTCCACCACCAGATACTGAGGAACAGAAGCATCATTCGGTTATGGACGGCAGACCAAGCCCTGTGGATTATCAAGTTAATGGCAGCTTTGATCTGCCTAGATCCATCTTTGAAAATGGTCATCAATTCTGGAATTCTACTTCTGCACCTTGTGGCATTGCCATGTACAATGAGAATGGCTACCATCAGGTAAGCAATCCTTTTGTGATTCGCTGTATTTCTGGTAAACAAGTCGGTTTTAGTTGATAATTAGCTTCATATGTTTTGCAGTGACTGAGAGGGTACCTATCGCTTATGAAGAAACACGGTGACCAAAGAGACCATTCGATATGCAAAAAGTAGACTTGTTTGGGTGAGCTTTAGCCACCAAATGTATTAGCTGTATATACTATTTAAGATTTTAGAGATTAAGTTATCTTGACTGACTTTATTACATGCTGTTGAAATTTGACAGAGCCGAGCTGTAAATTTGAATTTTGTACAGAATGAAAAAGTAATTATACTTCCTTTGGAATTTGAGTGTGATGCATTAGGACGTGAAAAGAAATATATAGTTTATTTGCCTGAGCAATAAATATGTCAGTTCCTCTGTACACGGAAATCAGTTGGTTATCGAAACTAATCCTCTCAGGATTACACAAGAGTCCACAATGACACAAGTTTTCAAGGAGTTGACTTAGTTACCCCTCAATGTTTGGACGATGGTGTTTTGCCATGGCGCTGATCGGTGATGTAAGAGGTTGTCACATGATCCTTTTCCTGTCACATTGTGTTGAACCAAAAGTCCCCAAGAATTCCAACACTGCCAATCTCCCTTCAGAGTGAGCCATGTTTTTCGACCAAGACCAGTGACAGGAAAAATGGAGGGAGGACGAAAATGTCTGTACATGTGTACGTGGCACTTGAACCGGTATATTTCTTTCAGAGGCATCCGCATATGTATTTTTGTAACGTTGGCTGGAAAAAGGTGCCGCGATCACAGATTTGCATTTTGTCTGTGTGCGGTGCTCTTTCTCATAATCAACATGTTAAACATATCTCTTTTCTTTCATTTTCTACATTTTTTTATAATAAAAAAAGTGCATCTGGTGCACAAATCCAAACGTTTGGGATTACCGCGTGCCACATCGTTCTCACGGAGAACCCCCTACTTTCCAACGTTTATAGGTCTTCTAAGGAAATCAAACTCTAGTTAAAAAAACTATTGATTGCTACTTCCTTGATCCTTCTCTTCCTGCTCTTGCTAAACCAGTTCATAGTTCATAACATGCTGTTCAAGGTGCGGATAATACAAATAACGGAAACAGAGAAATTTGTTCACAAACTATGCTATAAAACTGAATATGGCAGCTCATTAACTCAAGACACTTCCATGTGGACTGTGTCTTCCATTTTCAGAAGATAGCAGAACAGAAGTCCCCATAGTACAAATCAAATTATATTAATAACACAGTGATGTTATTCTAAATTTCTAACTACTGCAATGAAAGTGTGTGGTGCTATTTCAAAGGCCCAGCCAGCAGGGGCAACATTGTAAGACATTAAGGTCTGGCAAGGAACCCTGCATTGTCACACCATGAAAGCACAATAAAATTGCCTACACAAAACAATCACAACCCAGAACTAACACGACTATAACCAAACATGAGGGTGAATATGATAAATCAAGTACCTCCTGTACGAGATGGGCACTCTGTATTGAGCAATGTGGAGGAACGCAGGCTGAGAGTGAGAGAGATCGAAGCGGTGCCGGGGAAGGTCGCACCAGAGGAACTGTATTGTTTGGAAGGCACCATCTTTGGTCATTTACGCAACTAATCTCAAAAACAAGTCTCATAACTCAAAACACGGTTGACCAAGGCTGTGCTCACTGCTGCTGTGTTCGTCCGAAGCCAAAAACATATCCCCACAAGGGAATTACAGGGTCTATCTTAAAACCTACGGTTTGAGATTCAAGGTCTCAACTACCAAGGAAACATCGGAGTTTTTCCAAGCAGGAGGAGGGAAAAGCAGAGCAATAAAATAAAAGGAAATGCAAACAAAAAATTACATTAAAAAAATATTAAAAAAATTGGAGATGCGGGGTATCGATCCCCGTACCTCTCGCATGCTAAGCGAGCGCTCTACCATCTGAGCTACATCCCCAATATGCCGGGGTGATAACAAACACACTAAATGCAGATATAATTTATTTTGGTAGATCGGGCCTGATATTTCCCAAGCATAATACTTCTCCGGTCCTTAATATAAAACCTAATTATTGAGTTGGTTTTGGTCCTAAATATAAGATCCATTTCTCATATTTATCAATTTTCTCTAAATTACCCTTATGCATACTTTCTCAACTATAATCAAGTAGAAGAGGGAGATGGGGTATTAAGAAAGATGATTATGGTATTTTAGGAAAAATGTGTTACATTTCTTATAATTAACTAATTTATCTAACTTCCTTAATCTAATCAAATTAATTAAATAGGTCTTATATTAAGGACCGGAGGAGTACCACGTGAGTTAAAATTTTTTTTTTTTTTTTGACCAGCGTGAGTTAAATTTTATTGACTCCGTGAATTGCCTGAACATTTCATTTTAAAGGTTATTCTTGTCGAATATAGTATATAAGCTGTGTTTCGGATATCTGAATTCACATTAAAATCTTTAGCCGAAAAATAGAATAATAATCACCTTAATTATTAATCTGCTTAGGGTGTGTTTGGATGAAACCAAACCGTGATTTAGAAAAGTGATTCTGGAGAATAGATTCTGGGAATAATAGATTTTGGAAAGAATAGATTTTATGAAAAAGTGATTTTGCGAAGTGAGAGTGTTTGGATAGTTGTTATCAGAAGCACTTTTTATATATATAAATTACTAAAAAAAATATAAGTTAATATGATAATTACAGAAAAAATAGATTTTATTATATATTTTAATTTGAAGGAATAAAATTGTTAATAATATATTTTTTATTAACATAATTAATAATACATAAGATAATATAATTAATAAATAATTAATATGTATATATATTTATAAAATATAAGATTAAATATATTTATAAAAAAAATAACAAGATACATATCCTATAGGCTCTCACACTCTCCTTTTTTTTTCAAAAGCAAAAATTTTTTGCTTTTTTCAAAACCATAGTTTTGATTTTTGGATGGGTGTTTGGATGATTTATTCTCCAAACTATGATTTGGGGTGTCACCCAAACACAGCCTTAGAATCAGAGGGGGTCAGCCGGTCAGGGGACGACTTTTGATTCGTTCAAATTCTCAGATGGACTTTTTGGCCAAAAAGTTCTCAGATGGCTTGGGCTTCATTTAGAGGGCTGGCATGTATTTCCATTCTGGGCCTGATCTATTGAGCTAAAAGTAGATCTGATCTTTTCCCGAACTTTCTCATAGATGTTCGGTTTCATTCGGCATCCTTCTGTGCCCTAATTTCTCGGGCTGTCCATCTCTATTTAAGCACTGGTGATCTCAAACCCTAGTTCAGTTTGCGGAAGGCGTTGCCTGAGGCCTCCCTCTGTTCTGTTTGCTTGTTTTGCATTGCGTCTCCTTCATCCTCTTTAGTACTTTCCGTTTGTCTATGTTTTACTTAATGGAGTTGCAACACTTCAAAAAGTCTTGGTTTTTGCTCTTTCATCTTTGTATGATTGAATTATCCTTACTTCTGCTCGCATGCGCCTGTGATGGTTTTAAATATACTCTGAGAGTTATCTCTCCATGATATCAATTTTCATCTGAGGCATCCATTCGTTCTCCACTTTTCACGTTTAGAAGTTTTGGAGGCAATAAAGGGCTTTTGTTCTGCAGTTTGAAATTGTCAATTGAATGAACAGCTTCCATGCTTCGTACATGTTAAATCAATGTGCTACCTTTATATCCAAAGTTAATTTTTTCATATGATTTCAGCTTCTACTTTGCGTGATCTAGTCGTGTCTTCATCTCGTGCGTATTGGTCATTTGAAATCTTGGTTATTACATTATTGTTATCTGTGTTGATCTTTTGATGCTATGGCTGCATTTACGAACTAAATTTGGGAACAATGACTGTCGGCCGGGAAGAGCTATTTGTTCTGTCTGTGTTGGTGCCAGTGATGGTTTTAATACTCTAGAATTACCATGAATTTCTACTGTGATTAAAACTATTGCTGAGGGACCATATCGGACAGGCTTAAAGCTGCTCGGACACTGTCATTTGTGGAGTCTTTCTCTAGTAGATTGGTGCTCAATGATAGGTGTTTTTATAGATATAAATATTTTTTTTATTTTGGTTTCTCCCAAGAGCTTTTAACTAGTATATAATGTGCAAGTGACGATAACATAGACAGGGACATCAGAACTCTATAAGAGAATGATGATTTGTCTGATGGGAATCTCTCTGATGCGCAATTTATTAGTAATCATTTGAGAGGCCTAATTAATTATAGGTGGATGTTATATTTTCTCCGGTGTTTAGTGTTTATTTATTATGAAAGATATTATAAATAGGGTCTAGGGATGTGGACTATTTCCATTCGAAATCACAATTGAAGCTTGTATAGGCCTATTAATAATAATTTTCATCGTGAATAAGCCCTTTTGCTAACTTTGTAATGAGGTTACATCTGATAAAATGCTATGTAGTAATTATTAATTATTAATTTGGTTTGCACTAAATGTTTTACAAGTGATGTTTTGGCCTATGATGTACACAATTGCACGTATTATCAGACGTGGTTATGATGAAATCTCAAATTGTCACTACCTCTGAGGCCGATTTATAGAAGGAATGCATTGTCTCTGTTTTATGTTGCATCAGCAATGTTTTACTCTCCACAAAGCTCTTCAGTTCCGGAATCGAAGGATTTGGAAGGTCCTTTTTTGTCCCGTGATATTGTGGAAATACCAAGTGTCATAGAATTTAATGCATGCTTTGATTTGTATTACCCCATGAATGTGAAAAATTGCCAAGCTGATGATTGTATGCGAGCCTTATGATTTTTTATGAGAACGGAGATTCGAATGATGCTTCTGTTGAAGCCTGATGCTTATTCGGGCTCCAGACAGTATCTCATGTGATAAAGCGTTCTACGCGGGTATGATAATGAAGGCTTGTAATCATCTGAATTTGTGATTTGGTTGCGGCAATTTGCTTATTATAAAAATTGTTCTGACTAAGTTGGAGAAGAGATTTATCCTATAGAGCAAAATATTACTATGGTATATGAGATTTTCCCAGTCATCGGATGTAAAGATGCTTTTCCAGTTGCCAATATCTAATTTGAGGGGACCGGACTCCGCGGAAGATGTGCAAACCACGGAGAGATGATAGACCCCAGCAGGAACAAAGCCTGAACTTATTTTGACCTTGGGAGTATGAAATACTAACTGTCATATAACAGTAATTTATTGAAAAGAAAAAGGAGAGGAATCTTCCCAAAGAGAAATACCCAAAAAAAGTAAAATTCATCCGTTGTTGGTTAACAATATATTTGAACCATAAGGATATGCCATGAATAATAATGTGGGAGGGCCTGAAAAATTTTTAATAGCTGCAAGGGTTGAACTTTTTATGTACAATAACGAAACGTTGCTTGATTCAATGTCCTGGGTGGAAGTGGTGAAACTCATTTGACAAGTTCCTCTTTCTTTCCTGCTTCTTCCAATTCCCGTAGCCCCCCAACCTTTTGTTCAATCTCCTCTATCAGCTCCTCTCGCCACAGAGCTTCTCTAGCTTCTGCTTCCATTTTATCTTGCTGCACAACAATACCGACAAATTTGTCTGTTAGTGTTTCATGTTAATCTTTTATATGATTTAGTAAACTTTTATACCAAATAGCTTGGCATTTTCTGATAGTTTGTTCAAAACAGTACCTTCTCATAAATCCAATTACCAGTACCGTCTCCTCCGTCTCCCCTATATGTTTCTGAGTCGTAGTAGGGGTCCTGAATCATTTCAGAGTAAACAAGTAAGGGCTATGTAAATTGTTAATAATAAACTACGCTATGAAGTGATGGAAGGGAGATTGACTACCTTCATGGAACCGAAGAACAAACAGCCCCAAACAGTGAATAGTATGTAATATGAATCTGCAACAAAAAGGGCACAACTCAGAAACGGGAAACAATATGGAGGACAATGGAAATAGTTTGGATTGGAGAAGAGGGGATGAGGGAGGAAGTTCCTGGATACTTACAGACATTCTTTATTGCTTCATCACTGAGATGCCAAACAGATTTCTGAGTTATATAATCTATCTGACCCTCGATTTGCTCAACTATAACAGCCATAAGGGGAAGATCTGGCAAGCCATTCACTTTACATAAAGAGGCTCTTCTGCTTTTGCCCCTCTCAACCTTATATCCAAGTATGTAGAAGTTTAGCCATGCGTTTAGTTTGAGAATACGGATAACCAAAAAGGCACATCCCCGGTGACTCATTCAGCTGTAAAAAAAAACGAGCTACGTACCTGCCGGGATCCTTTGAACAAGGGGAAGGGTGGACGCTGCTTAAGCTGCAAAAGGAAAAGGACCCACTCATCTTCAAACTGGGAACTCGCATGTTATTTTTCTCACAAGGAAAAACTGGAAATTGACTGAAAAGAAAGAGGTTTTACCAGTCTTGAAGACGAGTTGGCTTCAAATCTCCCAGTTTGTATGCATGAGCAGTGAATCTGTGACTTGAAAATGGTGAATCCCATGATAGCTTCAGCCATGGTTTTTGACCCAAAAAGGGGATTGGAATTGGCTGCTATGCCTGTATCTGCACATGAGGCAAAAGAGTGGATAAGGGAAAAATCAAGAGCCACCCTTCGCCCTTCATTCATATACTTTCAAACAAATTGGACACAACTGGAATTCTACAAAAAAAACTTTTTAAATGACCCCATGCCCTCGTTGCTAATCTCTCCATCAAGTAAAGTCATCACAATATCACATTACTGGGAGAACACAAGAGGCCAAAACATACATGGACCCCCCAGCAGATATCGGTTTATACATGATGCTAAAACCAGGAACCGATAAGATTCGTACATGTTGGATATTAGTCCAATCCATCCTGTTTAACCACTTTGCTGGGTTTAATCATCTGGGTCGAGCTTAACTTCGCGTCTTGAAGTTGGATTTTTGTGGCCGAATAATTTGTTTTTATATGATCATTCTTACGCTTCTTAACAACTGGCCTATTAGCTCAGTTGGTTAGAGCGTCGTGCTAATAACGCGAAGGTCGCAGGTTCGAGACCTGCATGGGCCAGATTTTAATTTTTTTGCCTCTGTTTTTTTGTCCTGCTCCTTTTTCCCAGTTTCTCCGCGATTCTCTCTCATTCCATAAACTTCCTATGAACTACAGCCACAGATTCCCGCGATGTCGTAGGAGCATATTTCTTACATTATCATCTACTACTTCATTGTAAAAACTTCTTCTTTGATTTAGAAGAGTGTATTTCTTATTCCATCATCTGCTTCATCCTTGCAAAAATTTATTTTCTTCAAATGTACACCTCGGCCCGCCGCTGTCTCAAGGAAACTTCATTATTATGGGGAAAAAATCGGATTTGTTTGATCTAGAGAGGCATGTTGCCTTCCATGGAGTTCAGCACAGCAGCCCAGTTAGTACTATGATCCACACATTGTTTATATGGCCAATTTTCTTCACCACTTCAATGCTCCTGAATTAGGGTTCCACCGTAAGCTCATCCTCAACTTATATAGTCAGCGCCCTTTTCTATATGCTGCTTTAGACGTGAAAGTTGGCGCTCTAGCAGCTTTCCTCTAATGTTCTTCTGGGTTGGATCCACCATTATTGCCAGTAGGCTTGGCTTTTCTCCACAGTGGAAGCTATGACTCTACGACTATGATTTTAACCTCTTTACGGTCAAATGCCTCGTTGGATGGAGAAAATAAATTAAATATCTTCTCATATCTCGTGTAATAGATATAGTACTTAATAGGTCGAGAGTTATTTGTTGTGAGCCTAACTGCGCAGGATGGATCATTACTGAGGCAGACCTTCTCATATAGGATTCATCTTCCTGTTATTCTTCTCTCTTCCTTTAGACGTATTTTCTCATAGCACAGGTTGGGTCAGCTAAGAGAGCTGCACTGTAAGTGTACATTAGTCCAATGTTGATGTCCATGCTTCCTTCTTTTTATAATCAGAGGGAAGTTTGAACCAAAATGACTTCGATCATGACATCAATCTTTCAGGAAGTTTGGCGGCTCAGTTGTTTTTTTCTTTCGAAGTGAACAGCTTATTGGTCACGGGGTGTTTGAGGTGACTGGTTTATTCTATTGCTAATAACCATATGATGCATAGGTTGCTTATTTCATCAGGGTAAAGCCTTGTCTGTCTTCTTTTCTGTTAGAAACGTACTTTAGCTTTCTTAGACAATCTTGTTCAAGCTTTTCCAATGGCTTCTTTCTTTGTTTTGGTTGAGGTAATTTGGTTCACTATTTGTCACCATCCATTGCAGAACTGGTTTCTTGGCTATAAGCCAAAACAGGGTGACGAGAGTATAGAGGATGAGAAAAAAAATGGCCAGACAAGAAGCAAAGAAAAGTTCAAGTTGAACCAGTAACTTACAAGTGTTATGTTTGGATCAATCTACTGTACAGAAAGAAAAATGATTTCTGTTGATCGGGCAATTTTTTATGCGAACCTCGTGTAAGTGTTAAAGGAAAGTTTATCTCAAAATAACCTGTTACAAGTGCACAAAACCATACAATAAATTTAAGCATTGAGCTAAAAAACCATGTACACTATTATAAAAATCTTTCAATAGACTGTTTATCTACACTCGTCCCAGAAATGCCAATGAAGCTATTTCCGGGCTCCGGTTTTTGAACTCCCCTTTCCTTCATTGATCCTCTCACTCTGCTCATTTCATTCCATTGACCTGCACTTGCATACATGTTCGCAAGAAGAACGTAGTCGCTGCTATGATCTGGTTCCGATTCTAACAGGTGTTTTCTCACCTTCTCTCCAAGTTCCACACGTCCATGAACTCGACATGCAGCTAACAAAGTTCTCCATACAATTGCATTGCACTCCATTGGCATTCTCTTTATCAAGTTGTATGCTTCCTCAACTAACCCAGCTCGACCCAAAAGATCCACCATGCATCCATAGTGTTTCATCGTAGGTTGGATATTATAGTCTCTAACCATAACATGAAAATACACTCTTCCTTCGTCAATCATGCCTCCATGGCTACAAGCACACAACACTCCCAAGAATGTCACATCATCAGGTCTCACACCATTTTCTTCCACCATTTTTGAAAAAAGTGCCAATGCATCTTCTCCATTACCATGTGATGCAAGTGCAAGAATCATGATATTCCATGAAACTACGCTCTTCACTTTCATCCTGCTAAATGTGTCGTATGCTTCATCCAACGCTCCACACTTGGCATACATGTCAACAAGGGAATTGCAGACCGGTGTGATATCAGCAAGATCAGTGCCTCTAATACAGGAATGGATCTGCCTCCCAAAATCCAGAGCTCCGATTGCAGCACATGCTGAGAGGGTGACAACCAAAGTGGCATCATCAGGTTGTATCCCGTTCTGAATCATTCTGGTGAACAGGTGGAGTGCTTCCTTGTAGCTTCCACAACAGACATGAGAGTCTATGATAGAGTTCCAGGCCACTAAATCTGCATTGGGCATTTCATCGAACAAGTGGCGTGCAGTGTCAATGTCCTTGAGCATACCATACATGTGCATGAGAGAATTCCCAACATATGCGTGAGTAGAGAGACCGAGTTTAAGGGTTTTACAATGCAACTGCTTCCCGAGAATAACGGAATTCAGTCGCCCAACAACTTTAACCAAGAAAGCAAGGGTGAAATTATCCGGTTTCTCTCCTTTCTGCTGCATTCTCCGGTAGAAATGGATGGCTTGTTGGGGTTGGGTGGTCTTGGAAAAGCCCCTGATCATGGTGTTCCATAGGAACACATCTGGTTTTTCGACCCTGTCGAAAAGGGAGAGGGCGTAACTCATGTCGCCAAGTTCCGACGCGGCACAGAAAAGAATGATCTTGCCGACGACGTGGAGGTTGTGCTCAAACCCAGTGAGGATTATGCGAGCATGACATTGCTTCAGATGTCTCATGGTAGAACACCGCTCCAGGAGTTTCATTAATCTTTGGGCTTTTACAAAGTCTCCCATGCCTGTGACGCCTCCAGAACGCAGACAACTGAAGCTGTGCTTGAGTTGACAACGTATTGCGACTTCTCAGTTCGGGAAGAACAAGCACTCATTTTTTCTGTTTGAGTTTGAAATGTACTACTCCTCATCTCCTTAAATCTTCTTCAATATAAAAAGTATTCAGTTAATTTAATTAGATTAAAAAAATAAGTTAATTAATTAATTATAAAAAATATGATATATTTTTTAAATACTATAATTATTTTTTTTAATGTCATTTCTTATCTTCCACTTAATTATAGTTAAATAAGTATTTATACAAGTAATTTAAAAAAATTAATAAATATAAAAAGTAGATTTAGGTTTTATGTTAAGAATCGAAATAGTCTCCTATTTTGGTGAGTCTCCCTCAACATATAAAAAAAAAAGGTTAAAAAATACATGCTAGAAAAGAGTGACAACTGAATCTGAAACAAATTTTAAGTATGTTAGACGATAAATTTTGTAATTGAAGATTCTTCAATAATATTGGTAAATTAAATCTAGAATATAGATGTAGATATATAATTTTTTATGGCAGAGAAAAGGATATATAAATTTTTTGCAGTAATTTTTGTTATTAAAAAATGTATAATAAAAAAAAGTTGTCTGGGCAAAAAAGGCATTGGATAGCCTTGGAAGTCCAGCTTTTTTTTTTTGAGCTGAACCTTGGAAGTCCAGCTGGACCAGAAAATCAATGATCCATTCTTATACCTAAATTATGTGTGGCGGTTGTACCAAAAAATAAAAAAAAATAAATTATGTGTGGCGGGGGTCACTTGGACTAGTCTGGCCCAAACCGGTTGAGTTAGGTTTGAGTCCAAACTTGTGCTCTTCACCAAAAACAAAAAGCATTGGTAATTTATTTTGCCTCATAAATAAAAGACTGTTTGAAATGATTTATAAGTAATTTTTTAATTATTATTTATAAAATACAAAATAAGTATATAAAAAGAGTTTTATCTCAACTTATTTAAAATATACTTATTAATTATTTTAAAAGTGATGCGGGTCCAAAAAAAATCTCATACCACTTTTCAACTATCGATGAGCTCCTCGTTGGTTTAGAATTATGAATAAAAATATTCATATCCTATTTATGGGTATATTTGTTTGAGTTGTAATATGAAATTTTTTGTAAACATCTTAATATGATACCCACTATACTTTAAGTGTTGATATATGATATTGTAAAAATACAGAAAATAATTTAAATATGTGTGATTTATATGAATGAGCCATAGAGGTTCAAAAAGGTGGGGGTTTAACTTTCCTCGCATAACTTTGAACGCTGCGTAATTTAAAATTTAACCTTCCTCGCATCTCTCACCTAAACATACTCACCCTTCCCGATTATCAAGGAATCTCTCATCATTGTTCCAAATATTTTATATATAACATATCGAACACAAACTACCATAAGGGTTTAATTTGGGTTAGGTGAAAATAGCTTTCGGCCACGTAAAACAAAACATTAAAAATAATAATTAAATAAAACACCCAATAATTATCATTCGTACAAAAATTAAGTTCTCTAGCTATTGTCACCCTTACTTACTCCTTTATTATTATATTTTACTTTACCTTTTGTCTTGCTTAGGGAAACCGATTAGATTATCATTCTAACATCTCTCTCTCTCTCCCCCCTTACATTATCATTCCAACACCTAATGATATGATCTTATATATTCTGCTTATTCATTTTAATTTAACTGAAAACATGTAGTATTATTTTATTAAAATTTCAGATTTGATAGTGATGGAAATAACTAAAGAATATCAAGATGATCCCATCGACAGGGATATTAATTCCGTATCGCCCTATCTCATAGCTCACTGCTCACCATATTATTTGCATTAATTATAGGTTCAACTTATATATGTATTTATATATACATGTTTCGGCCACAGCTTCAATATAGGTTCAGGTTACTGTCATATATTTTTTTAAGTACCTAAAGATTTGTATATAACACACATATATGTTAAGGGACATTCTTCAGGACGTAACAAGCGGCGTCATTATTACTCACTAATGAGTGAATGATGAATTAATAATGTTATCCCATGTTAGAAGAATAAGAATGATAAATTACTTGAATTATCAATTGCGTCTGGATATACACAGCACCCCACCTCTGGCTTTTCCTCAAAACAGAAATTAATGACCTACCTAGCTATATATATATATATATATATATATATATATGCACACACACGTACACATACACATTTCAACTTTGGCTGCCGCTCTGTGTTGTGCTGTGTATAATATATTTCAACAAAACAATAACAATTGTAAACCAAAAACACAAAAAACAAAACAAAACAATAACAATTACCACCATTTAAAATTCACCAACTATTTAATGACCTTGTCTAATTTCAGTCAAACCCTGTGCCTTCATATAGCTAGATATATGTGGCCGTTGCGATTGATTTTTTTTTTTTTACTTCATTAACACCAAATTCCTTCAACAAATTAAAATGTTTGTCGATTCTTCATACATACAAAGATTATGCTGTGTCCCATGGAATTTGGCCAGAGAGTATTATACTACTACATATATTGTAATAATTTTTTTATTAACTCGTTCATAACATATTACTTTAAATGAATTGAATGATCACATGGGATTGGCGGGTTTAGATGGGGAAAGCCCAACTTCTCATATTTTGTAGGGGTTATTCACAGGTCTAGTCTTATTATCAATCCTATTACTCAAAGCCCCTTTATTTTCCCTTGAGGATGTGAGACTGAAAAGAAAGCTGAGTTGATAGAAGGGTTTCTTTGGAAAGAGTATGATAATTTCTCATTATTATAATTACATATATTAAGGGATGTTTAGATGGAAACAAAATCATAATTTTAAAAATATTTTTACGGCATACAAAATAAATATGTAAAAGAATTTGTTTTAATTTACGAAAAAATATTTTTAAAAAGTACTTCTCACATCATCCAAACGCCTTCTAAGTAAGAATTATTTAAGTATTTCTACACCGCACAAAACATAATTTTTAAAACTTAATTGTTTCCTCTCCCGATAATCCCATGCCCATTTTCTTAAAATTCAGCAGTGTACCGAAAAGGTCCTTAAAGTGTGTATTAATTTTAAAAAAACGAATACAATAATATGAGGTGCGGCATCAATCCTAGTTGTCTCCCAACATGGTGTGGTGGCTAGTCTATAAGCTATTTATATATATATATTTATATAATATCAGGTTTCTTCATCAAATCAAATCTGTTTATATTAGCCTGACCTTTGCGTTAACCAAACTAGTACTATTGCTCGGGCTTCCGGGCCAATCAAATTCCTCCACGAGGTCGTCCCTTTCATTCCCTCATGCTGGGGCAGGTGAAACAGGGCCCACCTATTGCCACCTCACCTCACGTTCCCCGGCAATTTGGTCAAACCACCGATTACATTTTTGAGATTAGTGCAAGCAAGTCAGAGTTTCTGTGGCTTGAAAAGGGGCCTAATGAAGAGTTAGGGATTAGCTGTGGCTGTGATTAGCGCACTCAATTGGGTGCCGCCGCGTGTACAGGGTAGGAGGGGCTAGGGGTGGGGGCCGGCGGCAGCGTCGATTCCCTCTGCCCTGACGGTTACGTGGCGGCTTCTGGACGTTATTTATTTGTGCGGCGTGCTCCTCTTGCCTGGACGAATGAAACTCCCAGAGCACGCGTGCGTTTTGTAACAGGATCAGGATCTCCTGTCCTAATTTTCGCCACAGAAAATAAAAGGAGCCAACCACGTCGAAGTGTGTGACTGAAGTGTTACTTCTGATCTCGAGTGAAGCCATCCTTGCGCCAATTTTCTGTCTAGCGAATAATGAGGTTGTGTGTTTTATTAGAATAAAATATAACATTACTTAATTAATTCTAGCATGTTTTCATACTGTAATTATGAATGTTATATCTGGAGTTACTCTCTCGCACCATTTTAATCATGAATTTTTTTGACAAAACGTCGCAGCCTTCTTTTAACTAGCTAATCACCATATGTTCTCACGCCCTTTCATTTTTTTCAAGGAAAAAAAAAGAGAGTCAATGGCCTTACGATAGAATGGTGCGAATATTCTTCCTGTAGATTCAATTCAATTTAAAGTATTTGTTTCTTTAATTTAAAAAATTAAATAATATCATAATACTTTGACTAGAAACAAGATTACACTATTTTCAAAATTCTCCTATAAACAGGAACAAAGAAAATATCTTATCCATAAATGAAATGCATTAAAATCATAACCTTTTCTTTTTTAGGCGAAAAGATTTAATTCATTCTCGACTTATAACATATTCATACCTCAATAACACCAACAAAAAAAATGCTGAGTCATCCAACACTCTCATTTTAAGAAATTTATAAATGAAAATCACTTCCTTTTTTTGTTTGAATTGTTGGACCCGGAGGGAAATTACAAATGATTCACACTATTTTAGGTATTATATATGAACAATATGGCATTCGTTTTATATAATTCATACAGTGTATGGATTGTATGTATTGTTACCTAATTGATTATCTTTTAGATTTTGGAATCAAGCGGACGGTCAGTTTGTTTGATAGTCTTCTCTTCTTTCTTTCTTTCGAAGGTTGATGCATTTTCACCTAAATAGCTTATTGAGTATAATTATTAAATTTGCATGATTACCATATATATTATTAATATATATAAAATTGAGTTGAATTGACCTAGTTAGTATTATTGTTACATCATTCACTTAATAATTCTGTATATAGATAATTATCAACCACCCAAAAACTAAATTATAAATAAGATGTGTGCATTAATCACGCACAAAAATACAAGCCAAGTTGTTGTGACTTGAAAGGGGAAAAAAAGGCCAAGTTGTAATGTTCATTTTGCTTTATGGAGTGGACAAATTAGCTTATGAATGAAATACCAACCAATTGGCCCATTTTTTCATGTAACTTCTTCCTCACCCAACTACCTTAATGAGCATAATCCCAAAATTCTTCCATATTCTTTTATTATTTTTATTTTTATTAATCTCATGACACATCAGGTGAGCTGAATATATTTTATTCCAAATTAGAAAAATAATAACAAGATGACGCTTGAATCATAGGTCAATAATTGGTATTGGTACAAATTTATAATTGAAAGATCTAAATTTATCTGCAAGTCGAAATCTAATGTTGTCGGTGTCTGAGCTTTGAAGTTCTGCGCGTCTGTAAAAATCGCAATATACCTTAATTTTTGTGGTAATTTATTTTAATATTTTATGACCATGATTCGCATGATTGATTTAAAAAGTTTCCGTTTTTTCTTGCCGGGCCCAAATGATGAGGGTTCGACACGGTTCAGAAATAAAATTAAAGATATTTTGTTAAACCAACAATTATTAAATTAAGTGTTAAGAGACCTTTTTTTAATATAATATGCTTTGTAAGTGTTAAGAAACTAAATATCTATTTGAGCAACATCTCCGGTATATGCCCAGTAAATAAATAAAAGAAGACAGGTTTGAAAATTAAAAAAAAAATTATTTTTTTTGTAGAGATTTTAAAAAATTTTCTAATTAAGTAGCATTAAATCTATACATTTTATAAAGCTTTTAACAAAAATGAATTTCATGATTTATGATGGGATAATATAGTTTGTTATAAACTTTATATTACAAGGTCCAATATATTCTAAGGCAGATTAAGACAAGTTATATTATCTATAATTTATAAATAATGATGCTTCTGGAATTTGTTATTTATGTACTTTATTTATACGGAAATGTCTAGGAACAAGCTTGTAGGGGGTTTTAGTGTTAAGATTAGTAGTATTAAAAAAATTTTTACACTGCATGAGATAAATTTTATTTTATATATTAATCTCATATAGTATAAAATTACTTAAAACAATATACCCTAACCCTAAAAATGCGCTTATTTTAATAATGTGCTACTTTTTGTTAACCCCAAAAAAAAAAATAGTATGCGTTACTTTTTGCCGTTTTTGGTGTAGTGGCGAAAATCAAAATGGACGTGTAAGGTGAAATGGGTCATTTCGAATGGAAAAAAGCGACATAACTGATTTGAGAAATAAAAGGTGAAGGCATTTTCTAAACACTATTGGCACTCACACAACTGGATTCACAAATTTAGAAAAACGATTATAAGGTATTTTCAGCATATTTTATATAGATAAAAAAAAATTTAAAATATATTAACTCTCTATTAAAATATAATAATTTTTTAAATTCTCTCATATTTAATATACGCACCTTTCAAAAAAGATAATTACCTACATCATAATAAATGAAGAACAAAATAATACATTTACGCTAAAAATTTAATAAAGTGACTTATAAATAGGAAAAAAATACTTTCTCTCTCTGTCCTATAAATAGGACTAGAAGAGTACTCTTTTCTAAGCTCCCACTAATCGAGTACACAAAAAGCACATATTATTATTATAATTATCAATTATTAGAAATCTAGAGCTTTGCCTCCGCCGAGCAGAGAGAATATAGGTATACATAATTACTTTTTTCAATCTTAAATATAAAATTTTAATTTGTAGTACAATTTACATTATAAATTCGATCTTATATTTAGAATTAGAAATAATATTGAATTTTTAACAAAAAAGACACACACACATATGAAAGTGTAGTTAATTAAACAGAATTGGCAATATTGTGAGCCCGTTTGAAATAGTTTATAAGTAGTTTTTCAATCGTAATTTATGAACTACAAAGTAAGTGTGTGAAAAAAATTTTATCTCGACTTATATAAAATGTGTTTATAAATACTTTTAAATGTTTTTTCAAATAGGCTCTGTGTAAGATTCAGAAACCATGAAAGATCATGACAAGCACATGTGATTGTGAGATTTTTTTTGTTTTTTGACCAGCGATTATGAGACGTAGATTAAGAAGCATGTATGTGGATAGTTTATATATAATACTCCTCCGGTCTTTAATATAGGACCCAATTCTTGAGTTGGTTTTGGTTCTAAATATAAGACCCATTTCTCATATTTTTTAATTTTCTCTAAATTACCCCTATAGATATTCTCCCAACCATAATCAAGTAGAAGAGGGAGAGGGGGTATTAAGAAAGATGATTATGGTATTTTAGGAAAAATGTGTCACTTTTTTTATAATTAACTAATTTACCTAACTTTCTTAATCTAATCAAATTAGTAATGGGTCTTATATTAAGGATCGGAGGAGTATAATTTATTCAATTATCTTTTAAAATTTCAATAATTTCAAATTTGTAATATTCCTTTTCTGTATAAAATTTACGGGGAGCTATGTAGGCATTCCTTTATAGACGGAAAGTGAAACAATATAATATTAGAGAACTTGATGTTGGATAGTGAAATTACAATATAGTCATGCCTAAGTGATTGAATTTCCAAGCATGGCATTAGCCACTGGGAAAGAAAAGAGAAATTTATAATTGCGGGAAAGTTGAGAGAAGTGGGCTATAAACAACTAACCAGGTTGCGTTCAAATTCACGTTTCTTTGCATCCAAACTCGCAGTATTTAGGCAACTCTTTTTCTCTATGCTTTTTTTCTCCCATTAACATCTCCATACATCCTTCATCTCCCAAACTTTTCAGTTCCATGATCTTCGTCCTTATCCCTCCCTTTTTTCTTCCACTTTCTCTGTGTTTTCTCTTAAACCTCACTCCCAGATCGCCTATTTAAATTCCCCCGGATTTGCTCATCTCAGTTGTTCTTCAATAAGATCATCACCCTTCGAGGTTTGAACTTCTGAGTTTTAAGTTTTTAGGGGGCTACCCTTCTGAATTCATAGATTCTTTGATCGAATTCTAACTCGTGACCCTTGTGCAGCTTGAGAATTTTCGTTTTCCATAGCCCAGAAATGGAGAATGTTGTGGGGCTGTGTAAGGAAGAAGAGAAAATGAATTTGCCTCCTGGTTTTCGGTTTCATCCGACTGATGAAGAGCTTATAAGTCAGTACCTGTACAAGAAGGTCACTGATTCCAACTTCTCAGCTAGGGCCATTGGGGAGGTGGACTTGAACAGGTCTGAGCCTTGGGATTTGCCATGTAAGTTAAACAATTCAACTTTTCACAACCATCTTGTGTTTGATCTATTGCCATGTTGATTCATGTTAAAGCCCAATTGAAACAACCTTGGGGTGTAGGGAAAGCCAAAATGGGAGAAAAGGAGTGGTACTTCTTCTGCGTGAGAGACAGAAAATACCCAACTGGTTTGAGAACCAACAGGGCCACTGAAACAGGATACTGGAAAGCCACAGGGAAAGATAAAGAGATCTACAGAGGAAAATCGCTGGTTGGAATGAAGAAAACTCTGGTTTTCTACAGAGGAAGAGCACCCAAAGGAGAGAAAACCAACTGGGTCATGCACGAATACAGATTAGAGGGTAAATTCTCCGTCCACAACCTCCCTAAAACCGCGAAGGTATATTCACATGCAGTCTCTGGCTCTTTGTTCTTTTCTCTTTCTCTCGTGTCTGAATCCATTGCTAAGGGGTTATGAATTTTTATGATGCTGTTTTTGCAGAATGAGTGGGTGATATGCAGGGTTTTTCAAAAAGGTTCGAGTGGTAAGAAAACCCATATTTCTGGGATGATGAGGCTGGATTCTCTTGGGAATGAATTGGGTTCTTCTGGCTTACCTCCATTGACAGATTCGTCACCTTTCCCTGGCAACAAAACCAAACCTGTCGCAGAATCGGCTTACGTGCCCTGCTTCTCCAATCCAATCGATGCTCAGATCAGAAACAACCAAGGAGGGATCTTTGATTCCTACAGCAACTTCCCTAATTATGGGGTTTCTTCGAATCCCTCAGACACCCTTCCCAGAATCCCAATTTCTGGTTCGTTATATTCCACTCAACCACATCAAGCTCCTTCAAGTTTAGCCCTACCCAATTCTATTTATGGCCTGCAAGACCAGACCCTCCTCAGGGCCTTGCTTGAAAACCAAGAATCAAACAGGAACAATTTCAAGCCCGAGAGGGACATGGTCAGTGTGTCCCAAGAAACAGGTCTTACCACTGACATGAACCCCGAAATCTCCTCGGTCGTGTCGAATCTTGACATGAGTCGCAGAACCTTCGACAATCAGCAGCCGCAACCAACTGCCTCATCTGCAGCAATGGACTATGAAGGTTTGTGGACTTACCGAGTTTAAATTTAGGAAAGAAAGCAAGACAAAAGATGAAGAGAGGATGACAAAGAAAGAGCTCTCAGTCCAGTCGTTACCGTATATCATCTGAAATTGATCTAGCTAAGTCTATGTGCGTAGGAATAAGTACAACTGTAATGAAGTAATGATGGTGAAAACTGAAATATCCCGTCTGTTTATGTTGGCTGTAAGAAAACTTGTGAAGTAAAAACTGTTTGTGATTTGATGTTTAGAAGGATTTTTATAAATCAAGGGTTGGTTTGAAAATCATGCTAAGATTGAGACTCAGTAGTAGTACGATCCAGCTCATGCTGAAACTTGAGAGCAAGAACATTATGACTTTTCATTCTAGTAATATTTTATAGATCAAACAGTGCATTTGTGGGGACTCGAGTACAGTTTACATTTGAAAGTCTCTCCAGTTCATCTTCCATTCTTCCTCCCTCTCTCTCCGTAACACACGTGCACGCGAATCCTTTGACAGATATGTAGAAATTATTTACCAACTTATCTGCATTTTCTTCCAATAACGAAGATACCCTGTACACATCAAGCTCGCCGATTTTCTCTCTCTCTCTTTCCTTTTCGCTTTGTGTGCGCCTGTACGAAAATGAAAACGACCGCAGAGTTCATTGTCAAACTAATAATTCAAAAGTTCTCAATGAAGAAATCTGAGGCTCTGGGTATCACTGCGCCAGCATCATCGACTAATGGAAACGGAACCACATTCTCTTGAGATGTTGGTTTAGTCAGAAGCCAGTGACCTAATGTGAAACAGCTCATATACATCCATCGAGAATGACTAGTCTTGTTCAGAAATAATCAAACTTGCTTGTATAGTTCCAGTGATCAAGCTAAAACTTTGTAATCAAATCGTTGTTCAGAACTTTGTGAAGATCATGAACATCCTGGTATTTTGATTATCAGAGTTTTAAGCTGTCAGAAAACATGAAGGACAGGGAATTGATTTTAATTAATTTTGAAGAAGACGAAAAAATTGATGAAGCTGTTTGGATGTAGTGGGAAAGTTCACCCATTCATTCAAATCCCATTTTGAGGATAAATGCATTCCGTTTTAAAGGAGCAAAGCATGACATGAGAAGATAGATCCTCTTTTCTTAATTTGTCTAAAAATACGACATACGCGTCCCATTTTGCACCCCCGTGTGTGTTTGGGTTTATGGGACTTTTTTTTTAAAAAAAATTTAAAAAGTACACCTTATATGTTGCATGATAAAACCTCTCCTCAAAAGTCCAATTTCATCCTTGCACGTCTTTCATCGTAACTGTATCTGTGTGAAAGCATCACCAAACTGCGCCTCTTCTTCTCCCTTTTTTTTTTTTTTTTTTTGCCTCAAAACATTTTATTTATAAACTTTACAAATACATCTTATGTGGCAGCATTATAAACTACACCTATTTTTTCAGCAAAAAAAATTAAATAGGCCTCCTATTTTTTGTGTTATCATTTGATGTTGTTCAGACTCGGCTATGTGCAAAGAAAGTCATTAGGTGTGCTGGTAAAGAGGATAGATCAAGGAATATGGAATCTTCTTAAAAAAAAAGTAGTTAAAAGTCAAAGAAAACACTCAATAAAATTATTAGATAATATTGTGTAATCTATATAGTCAACGTCACCTAATAAGATAAGTGTTGTTGTTCTTGTAATTGTATGGATTTCTTATCAAATTCACATAAGCCTTTCATCTCTTTTTCGAATCTTAATGCAATTTTTTTTCCTAAACCAAACAATAAATTATATAAATAACATAACTCTTGAAACTAAAAAAATTACATAAGCCTTTGTTTTTTGCCAGGAAAAAAAGATTGTGTTAATTTCAAGAATAAGGGAGCGCTGGGAATAACTTCAATAAAATGCAACAGTGATTGATATAATCTACTTTACCTTTTGATTTATACTTTGATTACTTCTATTTGACCTTGAATTTGTTGTAAAATTATTATTGGGCAGTACTCGTTTTGGGTATGGTGACAAATAAATAGGCGCATAAAGGACAAATCATGAAATCAAATTTCATCATCTTGCTGGAAAATTTGAGGTCCCTTAGAAGATGGGCTACGTGGGATGTTTAATTGAAATTAGGATATAAAGCTGTGTGGAATGAGATGTAAATGAAAATATTAACCTTGATGGCCTGATTGGAAGTTGAAGGAGTCTATCCTCTGATTGGTGCATTTATGGCATAATGTTAGAAGCCCCAACCACCTTATCATCATATTAGGATTGGGGGATTAGCAGTTAGCAATTAGGCTTAGAGTTGTTAATTTTGGCAGTATTATAATATGATTAGTGGTTAATCTCTTGCTGTCTCTTTTTCAGTAATTTTGGTCACATAAACAACTTCCTTCCTTCTATTGGGCATCGTTCCACACCCTCTCAATAAAATGTTGTACGATTTGTTTATTGTATGTTTCTGTACCTGTGATATATATATATATATATCCTTTATGAAAATAATAAATATACTTTTATGAGGGTATTAAGGTAAATGAGGTAGCGAGAGGGTGACGTGGGATTGGGGAGAGAATTAGGCATTTTTAACGGTCGACAACTAAGCATGTGAGGGCCCACACTGATCCTAAGTTGATTCCTCAATCCTCACACGGTTCGGGTTTTGCTACGCTCCGAAAAGAAGCAAGACTGTATTACGTGGCACACTGCGCCACGCGTATGTGGGCCCACAACATCCCGCCATGATGTCACCAACACGTGACTGAGCCCGCCGGAGTCGTAACTCGTAAGTCGTAACTGTATATCCGAAATTCGTGACCTTCCGCGACGGGCTTGAGAAATTCTACCTCCGGTTCTAATTATAAAAATTAATTGACTAATTTAAAAATATTAAAAAAATAAATTGGGTTAGTTATTTGTTCTAAACAGGTATTATATTTTTCAAAATATCCTTACTAATCAAGTGTATTGACTAGAACTTTTATTATTAGAAGAGCTATTTTGGAAAAAAAATAAATAAATATAAAAGACAAAGTGGATTGGGGTCTTATATTTAACACCAAAATAAAAATTAAACAGAATCTTATATTAAGGACCGAGGTGGTATAATAGATGCAAAGATTTCAACTAAGAGGAAATATGATAATTAATTTAACAATCATAAAAGAAATAGAGCATAGAAAATTAGTTAGACGTAGAAATTTTTACTAACAATATGGAAGATGCAGAATTTTTTTTAAAAAATTATTTTTGATGTTATTTAATGCATACTTTAATGATCAAATAGTTTATGTTTGAGTATTAAAAGTAAATGCGAATCCAACCTATCAAATGATACGTCCTCACAATCATGTCCACGTATATATAGCTATTTGCTAGATTAACGAAGGAAAATACCCAAGCTATTATAAATTATAAATACTATGACTCAATCCAATATTAATAATCAAATACAATTTTCATGATAAATTCTTAATAATAAAAATTACTTAAATTATTTATTTATAGTAAATGAGTGTTATCCTTTTCAAAATATCTTTATTAATCATGAATTATATTTAATGAAAACTCATTAACATAAACAATCATTCTATGACTCATATGGGAGTAAAATAAATGAATATGATAAATAAAATCAAACTAGATTTTGTACCACAAATGTGCAAAACAAGGACTGTACGAGAAGTAATTATAAAATAATGAAGCAATCGTATTCGCCACGTGGAACCAGGTCATGAAAGGGGAGGGTGAATATTAATTACCGTCACGCGCGGGTAATGCAGATTATGTGACATTTTTTTAATATGGAAAGCAACCAAATATGATAAGTTAAACACAATTACGCACACTTCTAATGCCATATTAAGCAAAAGACAAAATGTATAAAAAGGAGAAACGGACGGGCATTGAAACAGAAATTCAGATATGAAATGAGATATTTTTCTCCCTTTTTCTTTCTTTCTTGTTGGGGCACCCGGCACCATCAAATTCAAAGCCTATTGTACGCATAAGCGTGCAAAAAGTCAATGTTATCCTCACTAATTTTGGTCCCATCCTCCACTTTAAAAAAAATAAATAAAACTCACTGCACTGTGATGTGGGAAGGAGACATTTTGGGGCCATTCCATATTTTGAATTATAATATTTATGACTAATGATATTTTTCTTAGTGGACTATTGATATTTTTAGGCGTGAATTCTCTTCTTTCTTTTTTTTTTTCCCCTTTTCATACGAATTCAAACTCAAAACCCTACAGTTCAACAACTAAATTCTTTGTCTATCAGTATTCTCCTGTCACCTGCACTTGCAATCAGATTCCCAGATTTTCATATATTGTGTGCTTCTAATCTTTGCAAATTCGCAGTTTTCTTTTAAAATAACCATCCAGTATTCAAAATATTGGACTTTGGCCTAAATAAAATACTACATCCAGTAAGACACAACTGACTTATTTGAACATATTAAGAAAGTTATTAAATTATTTAATTATAACATACAGTACATGATCTTTCTAAAAATTTATGTGTATCATTAGTTTATATATCAATTTATAAACAAGGCAAATTAGTTGAAGAAAAAAATGAGAAATATAATTATTTTAAAGTAATTTAGTAATTTACTTAATTTTTTTTTGGTCAGATGTAGGCAACCGTGTCTTATGCAGTATAGATTTTCTAATGCGAGGATTACGCGGCAACATATAGTTTTAGAAACCGCAAACTGAAATGCCATTATGATTTGAAATAACCATCAAAGTCACAGATATTTTTATGGGAAAATTACGTACAGGTCTCACAGAAGGCAATTTATTACTCTGAGGTTCCACGAAATGTCAAAATCACTGACAGGTCCTAAGGGACCTCAGAGTAATATTTTCGATTTGTAAAATGACATTACTGCCCCTCATATTCCAGACTCACATTTGCTCTGTCATTACGATTTACAACCTCAGCAGCGACTATTAACAACCCAATGAGAGGGCGTTAACAACTTATTTTATAGAATCATATAACTTCTACATAAGAGTAAATTATAATCAAATAGTATAATACAACAACTTTAACACTAAAATGGGAAGCTTTTTTATATTATTAAGAATTTTAACTAGATCCAATAGGATTATAGTAATATTTTAATGTGAAGATCCATTTACAACCTCAACAGCGACTATTAACAACCGATAAGAGGGCATTAACAACCTAAGTAGTATCCGTTAACAACTTACTTTATAGAATTATATAACCTCCGCATAAGAGTAAATTATAACCAAATAGTATAATACAACAACTTTAACGCTCTCTCATTGGGTTGTTAATAGTCGCTGCTAAGGTTGTAAATCGCAATGACAGAGCAAATGTGAGTCTGGAATATGAGGGGCAGTAATGTCATTTTACAAATCGAAAATATTACTCTGA